TTTTTTTTTTTTGTTAAAATCAAACCAAATTGGTTTTGGTTGCAATGACAGCCAGAGGTCTTTTGAAATAACTCACCACCAGCTTCTACAAATATTTACCTATTCTGAACTGGATCATTAAGGATTTAAGACATTAGGTTCATTTTTTGTAGAAAATATTCACCCAGAAATATATATTTTTAACCTTATTTCCTTTATGTGCAATATGTGCAAATTTATTTTGATCATTTACTGTTTTCTGTCACATGTATCATATATTTTTCAAGTATATGCAGCTTCCCCTGTTTTTTTTCACAGTTTGAAAGTCTTTAGTTTAGTGATTTTTTTTATGCATCAGAGCTTCTGTACATTAATGTTCATTAGACTGTATAGATTCAAATTGAGTCATCGCTGACCCAACTTTTTGCAGTTGGGTCAGCGATGACTTCTTGCTGCCTAACTGGAACATTTTTGCTTGACTGGGACTAAAGACGGGTTGGTTTCCATTTTATGGTAATAGTTCGTTGTACAGACTGACTGCAATGATTACAAACTGACACAAAATTTTCCCCACTGGGCATTAAGGTCAAATCTTCTGCCTAAGTTGCTACTGGAACGTTTCATGTTTATTGTAATACAAGACGAAGCTCAGACCTAAAACATTGCATCAAAGCTCTGTTTTCTGTTATTCAAGTGGGTGAGTCTATAAAGTATGCAACCTAAAGTCTACAAAATATAGACTAAGATGGGTTGGGATATGGATACAAATCAATATATTCAGATTTATTTGGGATTTTCTTTAATATAAGAAAAGGTGCATGGAAACCTTTGCAATGTGAAACATGGACTGAAATCTTTTTTGGAAGTTCACAAGATGTTTATCTCTGTTTATTTCAGCCTCAGTCTACAGATTTCACACAGTACAACAGCTATGGAGACATGTGTGGTAGTGGAAGAGGTGAGCAGCTCAAACAGAGTAACGCCACAAATAGAAATGTTTCACCACAACTCTTTAATGTTAAAATCGGCTTGGAATATGTACATATACACAGACATGCTCTATGAAATAATTGATTTTCATGAAGGACAGCAGTGCTATAGCTAAAAGTAGCCTTTCAGGGGACTCTACAGCAAACCATTAACTGTGAGTCTCATTCTCTGTCCCATTTTGTCCTGCAGAGTTTCAGGTATGTCCCTCATCTGCTTTTCTTCACATGGCATGCCTCCTCATCTATGCATCATATGCTATGCTTTTGTCATTGGGTTGCCCTGAATGCACACCGCCCACTCCTGCTCCTTGCTTGCATCACACTCTGAATTTTTTTCATCTACAGGGCATATGCTGCTGTGGTTTTGAATAAATATGAGAAGCAAACACACATATGCCCAGTAGCTGAACAACTGTACCGTAAACGCAATGTACAACCATTGCCTCACGTCTTGTTCTGTGTTGTTTTTCAATGTGATGACTCAAGCTACATGTTAAAAGTATTTATTGAAATGAACTACGGAGAAAAAAAAGCAATCTGTAAATGACTGCCCATGTATAATAGGAATTAATATGCAATTGTTTTCAAGCTACTCGCTCCATCCACTAAAAACTGCACCCACTTTCATGGGTGGATATATATTCATGCCATGATCCTTGCAGTCCCCTTCCACTATATTACATGTGTATATGTTCTGTTCTTTAGCACATTAAGGAGGGCCGTGCAGCACTTGCAAGGATGGACAGGGGAGTATCTATGCCTAATATGTTGGAACCGAAAGCAAGTATATTTTCCTTTTTGTACCAATTACAAATGAGTTATTAAAAAAATTATAGAATGTCTGATCGATAGTTGAATATGAATGTTTATGACAAATTTAGAAAATAATGTACCTATCACAGGTACTTGTACTTTTTTTCACATTTTGTGCCATTACAGCAACAAACTGTGTATTTTGTTAGGATTTTATTCTGCAGTGCAACACAAAGTTGTACATAATTGTAAATTGGAGGGGAGGTTATACAGATTTTTGTCTCGTAGCCCTAAATAAACTAAGTTTAAATGGTAAATGGCCTGTAGTTATGTAGCTCTTTTTTAATTCGGGAGACCTGACCAAAGTGCTTTACACTACAAGGGGCGTTCAATAAGTAATGCCCTTGACCCACTTCCAGTTGCAGGTGTAACCATTTTTTATCTCTATAGATTAAGTGGAACATTTCTTCTGTGAACTACTGGGGGTTTCTGATTAACAGGTTTTCGAACTGAGACAAGACGGAAATGGAGCCTGTTGAGTGTCGAGCAGTGATCCGGGTTTTGTATGTCCTTGTAACGCCATATGATGAGGCATCACAAGTTACTTTGATTTCTTCAGAAGTCTCCTTGCTGTGCATCCTTTCAAATATGAAAAACAGATCACTGCTAGACATTCAACAGGCTCTGTTCAAACACCTCTAAATAAGAAACCGCAATATGTTCAGAGCTATAATTTGCCACTTAACGTATAGAGATATAAGTAATTGCACATGCAAAATTTCAACTTGATCAAAGAAATGGAAGTGCGTCAGGGGCATTACTTATTGAACACCCCTGTCATTCACCCATTCACACACTCACACGCTGATGGTGGCAAGCTACATTATAGCCGCAGCTGCCCTGGGGCCCACTGACAGAAGCGAGGCTGCCGTACACTGCAAATTTTATGTAACAATATAATTCCTCAAAAATACATTAAAGCTTGTTGTTGCAATGTTTTAGAATGTGAAAAAGTCCAAATGGTAGGGATACTTTTGCAAGCGATTGTATTTAAGAGACAGTAAGTGTGCATAAAATGACATCAGTCAGGGTGGAGACAGTTGAGGTGTGAATATTTGAGAGAAAAATATTTGTTCAGTCAAAAAAGAAAGACTCACTTTAGCAGGGCTCCTGATTTAGCATGCCGCTTAAGGAGCTGCTGAGTCAATCAAGCGCTTACAGCATGCTGGCTTCTTCATGCTCATCTGCACATGGCTTTGACTCAAAGTGACTGGATACTGTATGCAACATACAGTGTAAAAATCCGGTCTGTCATCCAAACAACTCATATCACTTTATACTGTTTATGCAGTGTTACAGGACATTACCGTGTGGATATGAGTTGGTCAGGGGCTTCAGAAAGCTTTCAGTTGCTTATTTTGGACCATCTCAAGTGGGGTTAGGATTAGTCATTTTTTAATTTAATTACAAGCACCGGAGTTTTTCAAGACAATCATTCCAATGTGGATTTATTCGGCCTAGATAAAAAACATTAAATATGAATACATCTAAAAATATGGTCTGTTACATGAGTTTGAAGTCATTTTTCTCCCTCTTTATCTGAGCGTTTGCACGTTTAACCACTAAGAAAATAGTACACATCAAAGCACCTGCATTTCCCTTATATCCTCAACCAAGCAAACCCAGTCAGCCTCCTGTCACATACCTGCTCTCCTGCCCTTTTTTACAGTCAGATTTATCCCAAAAGTACAAACTTGTAAGGTTTGTTTGTTTTTGTTTTTGGACTTAGCTCAATCTTTTTTTTTTTCTGTTTAATGATGCATGTCTCCCTCTGAAGGTGTATCCCTATGAATTGCTCATGATAACCAGTAGAGGGAGAGCTAAACTGCCAAGGGATGTGGACAGAACCAGACTGGAGGTATCCGATTTCCTCCCGATGCTCCTCAGTTAACGCTGCATTTTGAATTTTGTGTCAACACCCTTGTTACACAAACTTACATCTGTAGCTGAGAACATGCCGTACCAGTTGCTTCTCATCATTTTGCTGCAAACATTTTTTTACAGCTTTGATGCTAACTGAGAACCCCCTCACCCTTCCCTCTTCCTTTGTTTTTCTCCACCTTTGTTCTCAATTCTAGCGCCACTTAGCACCCGAAACGTTCTTTGAGATCTTTGGAATGGAGATCCAGGAGTTTGACAGGCTTCCACTGTGGAAACGTAACGACATGAAAAAGAAGGCCAAGCTCTTTTAGCTGCTTTATTTTTTTCTTTCCTAATTTATTAGCATGCATTACTCTGTACATACAACCAGATAGCCCACAGTTGTAATTTAGATATAGGGTTCTTGGTTATTTTCTTTTTCTTTTCTTCATACTGCTTGGCGCCACAAAATGAACTGATGTCGAGATGATGGACTTTTAACCCTGAATGGAAAGTTTTTCCATGTTCAAAAATGACAAAGAATGATGAAAAGGGTCCATTTTGTTTTGCTTCAATTGCACTTATTTTACCTCCTGCTTTGCTTCAAGTGAAAATCCTTCCTTAACGTTACTGCTCGTTTTTCCTTATATTTTGCTGTTGATTCCTGTGGAACTATGTAATCACAGTACACCATCAATGCACCATCACAAAAATCTCCTTGACTGTAGCTCGAATGTGTCAGCTTTTTTCTTATGCTTGGGCTGAAGCAGTTTTAGTCCAAAGTTTTCAAGAATCGGCTCAGTGAGTCTTTTGAAAATACACTAAGATGAGAGAAACCTGTGTGAAAACCGTTGGTAGCAACTGTTCGACTGGATCTACACTGAAATGAATACTCCAAGAAACATATCACCAGTCTTCTTCCCTCCCCTGGCTGTTATGCACAGAAAATGTTTATCTGCATAGACAAATATGTCTCTTTTCTCAGGCTGTCGTAAACAAAGTTAGACTTTTTTTCCCTTTACTGATATTGGAAATACAAATACTATATTTTAAGGCTGTTTCCGAGATAGAAAAAAAAAACATTCAAATAGATACAACCCCCTATTTCAAGAAGCAACTGTATTTGAAAGTATTGTTTTATAATTAGAAAATAAAAACACTGCCATTTGTTGTATTGAAATCAAAGCCAATAAAGCTTTAAATTGCCGTGAACCAATCTACACTGACAGTCACTATCAGCCTCTTACCTGCTCAGCATTTTCTGATCCCACTTGATGGGGATGATTGGGTGGAAAGTGATCTTAGGACTAAATTCAAATTTTTTTTTATGTTAGAAGTCTTCATTTAACTTTGTTGTGTTACATGATGTAAGGCAATCAGGCAATTGTGGTTTTTTGCCCAGGAAAAAAAAAAAAAAAGAAAAAGCTTATTTTGCAACGCTTTTGTGAACTTATGAGGTGTTGATATGTTTTAATGTTCTTTTTTTGTGCATTATTTGTTCTTTTCTGCTGTGAAGACAAAAAAAACTCTAATTCTATACGTTTACCTAAATTTCCACTCCATATTTAATCCTTTAGCTTTTCTAAACCACAGATTTCCTATTCTGTAATTCTCTAGGTCAGTCCTGTTTTTTTCTTGTGTTTTGTGACCTATTGGATCATTTTGTGTGTTTTGTTGGGAAAATGTGGACTTTGCCTGGCCGCTTCCTCTCAGGGTGTTTGTGCTCAGTGACCTTTTAATTCAACAGAGAACCCAGTTTTAAACAGCAGGTTAGTTTGAAAAAAAACAAGGTAATTCAAAATCAATATTCACAAATTTATTCCCCTTGCCCTTTATATATATGTGGAATTGGGGGGTTGAAAAAAAAAGAAATGAACAAAGCTCAAAACATAACATCACCGCCCAAAATCAAGACATGTGTGAAAATCCTAAATTGTGATTTATTAGTTCCTCAACTAAGAGTTTGGGTTTAAATGTCAACTTTCCTCTGCAGTGTTCAACTCTTGATGTCACACTTGTGAAAGCTGCTCAGAAATCTTTTGCAAAATTAACATTTTCACTGCTGTTTAAGTCAGAATATGGAGAAAGGTCCCTCAACAATATGGAACAGTGGAGTTTTCCACTAAAAGAGGAATATAGAAATATTAGAACATGAAGAAAATATTTCATTAATTAAAGTAGCATAATCCAATTATAAACAAATGTGCAGCTTGGAGGGAAAAATGTGGCTCAGTAGATAGTCTCTTGTAATCAGAAAGTTGTGGGTTTAATTCCAGCTTCTCACTGCTGAATTACACTGACCACAATGACCACTTAAACCCAAGCACCCTCCTGATCTCATTGTTTCTAAATGTGACAGGGTGGATGTAGTGACAGTGGAAAGTGCTTTGGATGGTTGGTATATATAGAAAGGTGCTATCTAAACTCAGTCCATTAAAAATAGCATTCAAATCTACAGTTTAAGGTAATCTATCCCAAATACTATCTGAATGCACCCCTTAATTTTCCCCAAATTTTGTTAGATTTTTTTTTTAGCATAGCGTTAAGCATAATTTTCAGTTTAACAGTTTTTTTTTAAATGGAGTAAAAAACTAGAAAAGGTATACTAAGTTACCTAAAAATGATTTTAGGTGCATTTTATTTCCATCTTTCCGATGCGTCTGTCATTTAGCTCGAGTCCTGGTGTGGTAAGGTCATCTAATTGAACATGATTTGGAAATGAACACATTTATTTTTACATGGTCTTACAGTTGATGGCACATATCAGATCAGAAACTAGGAAATTAAATCAAAGGATGAAATAAAAACAATGATCTCTACACCTTCTAGACCAGACCGTGTCTCAGCAAAATACTTGGAATATACAGTATACAAACACATACGCTTGCCTGACCAAATTTAACAGACAGGAAAGAAAGCTCATGTTCAGAGGGACGTTTTAGCTTAAACTATTCCTAAATCCAATTTAGCATGCTAGAAAAATATAAATTGCTGATCTACTTAGAGATATGCCAGATTGTATCTGATTTTAACATGAGTTTAAGAAAAACCCAAAATTATGAATGTTAATCTTGTAAAGATAGATGAGGAAGACTTGAAGCTCTGATCAATGCCAAAGATGCTTTAATATATAATAAACCATTGGTTTAAACATGTCAAGCACATAATATATATCAGCTGAAAAGCTACTTTTACATTTTCTTTTTGCAGTATTATAAGGACATCTTTAAGAATAAAAAAGACTTGGAATTATATTTAAAAATAGAGTAAAACAAATAAGGATCTTAAAATTTTCTGGTGGTGCTGTATAAGATCTTCAAGACCTAATAATGCATATCATATTACATTTTAATAATTAGCATTTTTACATCAGCTGGAACAATTGTTAAATAAAAAAAGTAAAAGGAGAAATAGAAACCTCTTACAGGGTGAGAAAAAAGTAACCCAGATTTCATCCTTTCATTAACAAAGTTTAATAAAACCTAATGCATTGTTTTGCTGTTCGTGGAGTTAGGAATCCTGCAGAAAAACCTAGAGAAAGATACAAAAATGTCCAACTTTAACTTCCATGTAAAAGGACTCTTCTGGTCCACATTTTTTCCAATTTTATCCGGGCTTTAATTAGAACTTTTTACGTGTTTGACTACAGAGCTGAGATGTGAGGAATACATGTCAGCTCATACCCAGAAAGTACTGAACTTTAACACAAAGGTCTACTTTAAGCTTTTTCTGCTCTTGGGGCTCCTACTCACAGCTGTTTAGTTAGTACATCAAATACATGTACAACCTTTTCCCACAGGATGCGTTAGAAAGGCACCACACATCTTTGAAGAAGCAAAGAGTTGCTGTAAAACACAGGCTGAAAGAACTGGCGGCCCGTCAGTCAGAAATCACTGTGAGTTTACTTAAAAAAGGCCCTTTCTGCGGAAAAGAAATTTAGATTTCATCAATTTATCTGCTAATGTGGAAATCTTTTTTTTTTGGGTGATGTGGTAATAGAATTTGATATTTCAATATGTATCCATTTAGAAAAAATCTACAGCAATAAAAGACAGTGTATTGAGAAAATATCAGGAGATCCATGCCGTCCTGGAGGAGGACATGCGGATTACCTTGTCTCACCTGGAGATGGAGGAGAGGGCTGCTGTCTCTGCTTTGGATGCGTTCATGGAGAGAAACTGCACTCAAATACAGGAAATAGAGCAAGAATTGGCCAGAATATCTTTTGCTCTGGAGCAAAACAACACAGAACCTGATTCAATGGTAAAAAAAATAAATAAATCCAGAGTTTAAATGTTAAGAGAAGCAGCTCATAGCTAACTTAGATTTTCTGCTGTTCCTCAGTCATTCTTTTCATATCCTGAGCTGGACAACACAGAGATAGCAGAAAGGTACGGATAATATTAATGACTTTTAGAGTTGCATATGCTTTGCTAGGTATTCCTCCACCTTTGCTAGGTATTCCTCCACCCTCAATTTTTTATGTATTTTTATGGGATTTTATGTGAAAAGTAAAAAAAAAAAGAAATCTTTGAAATTTGGTGTGCGTTTAAATTTATCTTTCTGAGTCTAACACATGAACCTGTTTTGGTTACAATTCAAACTATTTGGGGAAATATTTATATGTACTTAGCACATCTACAGACTTTTTTTCTTTTTAGATTAGATTAGAGTAGATTCAACTTTATTGTCATTGCACAGGTACAGGTACAAGGTATGAAATGCAGTTTAGGTCTAACTAAAAGTGCAATAGCAGCAAGTGCAGAATAAATAATGGTTCTATAAATACAGGACATGGGTATCTATAATTAACTATATATAGTTAACTAGCGTTATAAACAAAATTTACAGCTGGATATGTACCGAATATAATATATAGGTGGATATTACTATAAAAAGGGTTTTTATAGTTATGTACAATAGCATATATACAGATGGGTTATGCCTAATAAGGTCAAACTCAGGTTAGAGGAAGAGCTACCATCCCTGTTTTACAGTGGTGATTGTTTGCAGGGTTATGATCAGTGGAAGTTTTTTCTGGTTTGTTTTGTGTCTTATGAAACTTGCAAAAAAAGTTTCATTTTTGATTTTGATATGAGCAGGGAAACTGCAATGGATTTTTTTTTTGCCACTTTTCCACAAAAGCTAGAATTGTAAGGTGTATGACTTTTAGTTGGTGGTATGAGGTAAAATGCTCCTTATCCCTGATCTGTAAGCCATATTTCTGGGTCTTTAGTCTGATTCTATAAGAGAACTGGTTGTGCTTGATATCTATAGGGGTACTAGGATAAAGGGAGGTGGACACAAAAGGAAAAAAACGCGTTCTATCACGTATACAGTAAGTTTCCTACCAATTCAAAGGTAAGTCATGAAGTATTTTATAAGGAACCCAAAGCAGCGAGGGGCATGCCGCAGACCGGCTGAATGAAGCAAGGAGACATTTCAACAAATATGTTTAAACCTATGATGTTGCTAGAACATCCAAAATGACACATGAGATCATAGAGAAGTTTTCTGATAAGCTACGTGTGTCAACTTGAGGGTGGGGGTTTGTTGAGTACCCAAATGCAGAGATGTGTGGCAGAGATGAGTTCTTGTAGGTTTAATGTAGTCAAAGGGCAACAGAAACAAAAACAAAAACAAGACTCAATCGAAAAAACCAGGAGTGGTCAGGAGAAATCACACATGGTGAGCCAAGTAACGACAAGGAATTGGCATTGAGGAACTGCATGGGGAGAGTATACATGGGAGATGGAACAAAGACTGGGGTAATCAGCTGATATGGAGCAGGTGTGAATAGAAGTGACTAGAAGGGAGCCAAGGGGAGACAGTCACAGCAGGGCAACAGAGATTAACTAAAAACTGCTTAAATATAACACAAAAATGGAAAATACAGCAAAGATCAACAAAACCGAATTACATAGATGGAACTCAAAGTCCAATTAGGGGAGAAACATAACAACGTGAGCAGCATAAACATGTAACATTTGAGAGTAATTAACTAAATACACTGCTGCTATTAGGGAGATACTAAAATGTCGACTGATTTACACATATGGAATACATAAATCTGCACAAATCTAAAAATAAAGAAAAGTGAATCAATAACACAAAATCCAATCCTATTTGACCGAGGCACATAAAACTCCCCTAAAAAATACATTTTAAGTTTGTGGTTGTGGGGTAATAAAATGCAAAAGTTTATGGCGGTATTTTTAAGCCACAATGCCTATAAGTAATACTTCATGCCGTTCCTTCCTCAGAGTGTCGGATGTTCTCAACCAATCAGATCCTAGCAGCGTGAGCCTCGATGAAGCTAAAGCTAGCCAGATCCTCACGCTCACCGACAACATGCTGCTCCTTGTCTGCTCACAGACTCCTTTAATGAAGAAACTCCTGAAAAGCTGTTAGTTCCCATTTTATTTACACATCAGTAAATCAGTGTATCCCTCTTTAGGATACCTTTAATATTAATATATTTACACTTATGTCCAGATTCCAGTGAGGTGCACCTGGATCCACAGACGGCCCACCCAAAGTTAATTATCTCCCCTAAAAGTGACAGCGTCTCCTACACAGACACATGGCAGAAACTCCCTGATCTACCAGGACGGTTCGACACCACCCTCAACGTCATCAGTCTCCAGGGGTTCCGCTTTGGTCACCATTACTGGGAGATAGATGTTACCGGAAAGACTTACTGGGAGCTTGGTGTTACCTACCCCTCCATTCCCCGCAAAGGAACCTCTGAGGACTGCTGGCTGGGCCGAGGAGCAGAGTCCTGGTGTGTGGAGTTCTTTGATGGGGAATACACAGCCTGGCATGGAGGGTTACCCCATCAGCTGCCCTTCTCTAAACGTTTTTGTCAGATTGGTGTTTTCTGCAGCTTTCCTGCAGGGCTGGTGACATTTCTTGAGGCAGAAAAAATGATGCCCCTATTTTCATTCTGTGCTGGAACCTTTTTGGATTGCCTCCACCTAGCCCTGTGTCCTGGTCATGACCATAATGGCACTAATTCAAGTCCTATTGTAATCTGTAATGAAACATCCCCTACTAGTGACCTGTAGCTGGATAACATTAGTAATAATGCTGAAATAACATGAACAAAAATACTTTAAAACAACACAATAAATATGCTTACCACATATTTCATGATGATTTTCACTGAGCAATTTTGTAACTAGATTTATATGATGCCTGATATGGATCTGACTTTTAAAACTGCAGGTCTGAACAACATTGTTCAGGGTCACTGAGCTGAATGGGGCATGGATCTCATCTTCCAATATAGCACTTGAGCCAGCAAGCTGCAATATGTGCATCTGCTGCAAAAACAGCAACAAACATACAAAAAAAAATGGATTTGGAGTCACGCACAAAATTAAATTAGAAAAACACCACAGGCTGATCCAACTTTGGTGTAATGTCCTTAAAACAGGGTTAAAATGAGGCACAGTATTGTTTGTGGCCTCCACTTGACTGTATGACCTCCCTACAACAACTGGGCATGCTCCTGATGAGGTGGTGGATGGTCTTCTGAGGAATCCCCCAGACCTAGACTAAAGCATCCGCCAACTCCTGGACAGTCTGTGGTGCAAAGTGATGTTGGTGGTTTGATTAAGAATTAGGTTCAACCACATATGCTCACTTGGATTCAGGTCTGGGTAACAGGTGGGCCTGTCCATAGCTTCAATTCCTTCATCCTACAGCAACTGCTTACAAATTCCAGCCATATGAGGTCTAGCATTGTCCTGCATTAGGAGGGGCCCAGGGCCAAACGCACCAGCATATTGTCTCAAGGGGTCTTAGGATCTCCTCACACTACCTAATGGCTGTCAAGCTACCTCTTGCAGGTAAATGGAGGGCTGTGGAGGTAGTGGCATTTCTTTGGAAATGCCACTACAATGGGAGTTGTAGAGTCTGCCTAATGCTACCATGGGTATGAAAGCACGACCAACATTCAAAATTTACCAAAACATCAGCTAGAAAGCATAGGTACTGAGAAGTGGTCTGTGGTCCTCACATACAGACAAACTCCTTTATTGAGTGTGTCTTGCTAATCTTTAATAATTTTCACCTGTTGTCCATTCCATTTGTAAATGTTTACGTGTTTCTTATGTGTTCCCTTTATTTTTTTGAGCAGTGTTTGTACAGTACAGACATACTCTTGAGAAATAGATTAATTTTAAAAGGTTTATTGAACAATCACAAGGTAAATGTAACAGTCATTCGTTCTGGAGAAACTGGGAGGGAAACAAATAAATATGGGGCCACAGAAATACTGTAGAAGCAGGGAAACAATGAATAATGGTTTGATGACAGGAAAGTTTAGTGGAGGGATGACTTACCAGAGTTGATGTTAACTAGTCACTCCAGGGGAGGTTCAGAACAATTTGGAAGACCGGTTTGTCATTGGTAGGGATCTAGAGGCAGTGCCTGCCGGTGGAGATTCGAACAGCGTTGATCCTTCATTTAACCAGTTATCAGTCTCTCTAGAGGTCCTCCTCAAGCACTTTCCCCCTGAGTGGCAGGTTGACTTCACCTGTTCCCCATCTAGCAGTGGACTATTTAAGGATCCTGCTGCCAGCTCTCCAGTGCCTGTGTGTCAGTCTTTGTAGACTAATGGTCCAGCGGTTCAAGCTCCTGAGAAACCTTCTGAGTTCTTCATAAATATACAAAATCAAGGTAAGGACTTTGGTGCTTTTCCCAGATAGCAGCACAGAGCATCTTTAAAGTCACTGTTCCGTTTAATCTGATTCGCTCTCCTCTATGCTCACATGGATCCCTTCGCTTCCACGACAAAATCTGTCAGTACCAAGACTCACAGAGTTTCCAGACCCTGCTCACCCTCCCCCCTAACGGATAAACCAGAACCTCAAGTAAGCTCTCTTCACAATTCAGATTTCTCTCAATTCAGTTCAACGCATCTAACTTTCCTGTCCATCTTTCAGAGACCCCTGCCATTCCTGTTTTTTTAATTTTGCAATATACACTGCGGTCACTATAATAATTGTTTACCTAATAGTAAGGAAATAACTAAGACAAGAAAGCAGCATGCTTCTAACCTGACTCCGCCAGATGGATTTGCTCCGCATATCCATCTGGAAACCTTCCGTTGAAGTAATTTTGGGAAGGGGCGAAAATACTGGTTAGCTGATTGGCCTATGTTAGTGATAGACGGGCCGAATAAACCAATCAGATCAACGAAGTATATGACGTACTAAGAGCAACGACGAAAACACAACCACAAGCCAGGCACAAGCCAACTCTTGCCGAAACCGACTGGTTTCAGCAAGAATTTGATCAAAAACATCTTTTCCTCTGAGAAAAGCCTCCAGAGCAGTGTTTTGCTCTTCTTTCAGTGAAGAAATACTCTGTAATTCCGATAAAACTTGCTCGATAGCCACGCTAACGCTAGTTTCATCGGCTGAAGCTGGCATGTTCTTTAGACTGAACTGTCACGCTTCTCGTTGCGTCACACCTCAACCCGCCTCAAAGCCAACGCTGATTGGACGTTCGTTTGGTGAACTGCCCTAAATTTTCTTTAACGGAGAGTCTCCAGACTGATTTGCGAGTGAAACCTTGAAAGCTTGCGAGATCAGGATGGTCTCACGAGGCTAGCATGCTTCCTGTTGGCAGTTAATTTAGCATACGGACCTCTGGATGTTCCCAGCCGCCACTAGGAGTAATACGGTGACCACAATCCTTTGCGTGACGGGCGTATAAGCACAGAAAACTGTATGCCAGAGTGTTTAATTAAATGAATTATTTCTTGACATGTAGTCTGTTTGAAACATGCAAATATGATCATATTTATATCTTTTTAGGTTTATGACAGAAAGGATTAAGCCTTTTTTTGTTTTTTTTTGTAGTTCTTTTCCTGAAGGGTGTAGTCCTAAATTGACAAGAATCATTCACCTGCATGTTTGTCACATAATGACATCTGGAAGACTGAAGGCTGTATTCACTAAAGAAATCCAGAGTTCCTTGTTTACCCCAGACAATGTTCTGACTGTTACCATGAAATGTAAAGTAGCAGGGGCTGGGGACAAGAGTTAGGAGCTACAATATAAGGCATTTAGATTGAGCCAGAGAGTAAGACAAAGAAGAAACTAACAGAAGCTTATTAGATTCAGTTCATTTTAGGTTGTTAAAATAGCAGCAATACACTGTACAGAGACAATTTAATATAAACATACAGACATAATGGTTTTCTATAAGTTTTCTATCTAAGGAAATCAGCTGATTGCAACAACACATTTCAGGACACAGTCTTCCAGGAGGGGCATGTTGCAGCAGTAGATATATTTCTTTGCATTTTGTTGTTGACTCAACAGCAAACCCTCACACTGAGCTTTGTTATTTATGGTTTATTTGTGAGAAAGGTGATTATATTCTGAACCTAAAAAAGAAGCCAATGAATAGGAGCTAAGATAGGAGAAATATGATCTATTTTTTATTTTCATCAGAACTCTGACTGCAGCATTTTGGATCAGCTGAAGGCTTTTAACTACAGTATGAGGACTTCCTGATAGTAAAGAATTACAATAGTCCAACAAATGCATGGACTAGTTTCTCAGCATCACCCCTGGACAGGATATTTTTTAACATTTGCAATATTTCAGAGATGAATAAAGTAAATTCTAGACACCTCTTTGCATGTCCTGATCAAAAAATACACCGAGGTGTTTTACTTTATTATTTGAGATCGATTTAATCCCATTCAAATGAAGTGACAAACTAATCAGCTTCTTTTTCAAAGACTCTGGTCCAAAGACTATAACTTCTGTTTTGTCTGCATTCAGAAGCAGAAAGTTAAGTGTCATTATGGGGATGGGTTAAATGCAGAGGGTGGCAGTGGAATGACAATAAAACTCTGGGGGGGGGGGGGGGGGGGGGGGGGGGGGGGGGTCAATTACTATGTTTTAAAATTTTTTTTTTTTTTTTTTTTTTTTAGATCAAAGCATTTTTAGTTTAGTTCATGGTTTTACTTTTTAAGATCTTTGGTCTATTCTACTTGGGTCATCTAGCTTCTGTGTAGGTGATATATTGATTCTTCATATTAAACAGTCACCATGCTAATGAATTAAACTGAAAATGTGGTTAATCAAAATAGATGATGCTCTTTCACTTTTTCTTTACTTTGTGCTAGTTTTTACATATAGGACTATGCTGTTTGCTTTTTTTTTTTACCCTTGATTCATGCAATACCATTTACATGTTTACTCACTCAGTTAATCTTTTATCTATTTTCTTTCAGATTTTCTGATTGTTGATGTCATTTTTTATTACTTCCATGAATCTGAGGACCTGTTAATACATTAGTAATTAATCTAAATCAGAGGGTGCATTGAAAGGCCTACAGTTGCTGTGCAAATGAAAATCTTCTATTGTGCCATATATGCCAATTTAATACAAGGAAATGTAAATTCATTTTGGTAACTTCATTTTAGAATTTAAATTTTTTTTTTTTATTTTAGCTGAAAAAACAGAATTTATAGTTGTCTCTTTTTAAAGTTGTATTAAAAATCCTCTCATATATATGCCACATTCTGTTTTTGCATTCATATTCTGATATTTTGTGGCTGAATATTTTGGGTCTTCAGTAAATTTAAGTCACAATTAGAAATAAACACTTGAACTCTAAAAATCTGTGGTATATATTACTTCAATTAAATCTTTAGATGTGTTCAAATAAATTTATAAAAGAAATCTACTTTTCATTTTTATTCTGATTTATTTATATACCGCTGTAGAAATACATATGTTCAACATTTCTATGTAACAAGTGAATTTGATCCAAAGTCTACATGCAAGCAAACACTGAGCTTTTAGCAAACATGTTCTCTGAACCTCTGTGATGCAATGATGAGTGGGTTTTAGTCTTATCATTTAATCATTTCTAATGTAAAACATCTTCAATAATTAGATAAATTAAACTAAAATGGCAATTTTCAGAACAATTTTCAGCCATATCCTTATATCATTGTGGGTAACCTTGAAGGCACACTATTGTCTGTTTGATGTAAAAAATGACTGAACAATATGGATTTGTGCCAGACAAAGCTGAAGTTCCAAAGGTTAGTGTCCTTGTATGAGATTTTACAAAAAGTGAGCTTTCTCTGCACCTCAGCACAGTCTCATTTTGTCTTCCTGGACATTGGCTGGTGCTGTGCCATCATGAAACTGAAGCTGCTTCTCCTTTGCCTCTTCTTGGCTGTGTTCCTTATACCCACAGAAGTGAGTATTCCCTGCATATATTATCCTGAAATAGGCCAGTATGTAAATGCTTTTCTCTTATTTACAACTAAGCAATACTTATGAGGTAATTCTGTCGTACTTTTCAGAAATTCAGTTAGTTTTAGTCTATTAAGTTTGTTCATTTTAAAACCATTTAATCAGGTAAGTTAAATTATTTATCAAATGTTTTAACAAATTTCTGTAATTTTGTTATTAATCAGTCAAAACCCAAACACAAAGACAAACATGGAGACAGACGTGGACCTCCAAGACACCGTGGGCGCGAAAAAAAAAAGTATAAGTTTGAAGACATAATTGAAGGTCAGAGTTTATTTTTATTGTAAGATTCAGACTATTAAAAAAAAAAACCCATAACAAATATTTTTTTTCAAATCTGAATAAACATTTTTTAGACATCTTCTTCGGCGATGGAAGTGAAGATGATGAGGATGATGAGACGTTGAATTCAGACTGGCTTTTTGAACTTCAGGATTTGGATGGTATGAGGATGTTTTCCAACTGATTTTTGTTTATTAAGTTGTGCCATGGTAGATAGTCTATTATAGTACCATTACACCTCCTTTCATCTTATTTGTCAGGCGAGTGTACACCCAATCCCTGCCTCAACAATGGTGTGTGCAAAGAAAAACGCAGAAGAGGGTACAAATGTGAATGCCCCAAGCCATTTAGGGGGAGGAATTGTGAGAAAGGTTGGAGGAATTTGCCATCTTCTTCCTATTAAATCTCTCCTGTCATTGTCACACACAAGCTATCAAATGTACTAATGTTTGTGTTCATTGTTCTAGGCCCTAGAGTGTGCAGGAGAGGTGTTTGTGGAAGGGGCGAGTGTGTGCTGACTTCAACCCCTCCTTACTATGAGTGCAAATGCAAATACCCATTCCAGCCTCCAGACTGCAAGCGATGTAAGGGACAAACAAACCACATCTTCAAAATAATATAAATAAAATAATATTTTGTTTATTTTTTATTTTATTTATTTTTTGTTTCTGTGCAGATTCTGTGTGTGAGCCAAATCCATGCCGAAATGGTGGCCAGTGCATCCAGGATGGCAATGACTTTGACTGTCAGTGCTCAGAAGGGTTCCGAGGACGATTCTGTCATGTTGGTGAATACTGCACTTCTATATCACTGTCTTTATATGAATAGTAACTAAGTCCAAGTTTAGAAATTAGTACTTAAAAATAAACAGAAACTCCCCTCTTCTGGTATCCCAGACATGAGTCTATTCCCAGTGTCTTGGAATAGACTCATGCAGGCAACAAGACAATCTGGCAGGCACTGACTGAGAGACAGGTGTTAATTCAATCAGACATTGTGTTTTGCTAAAATTGGTTTACAAAATGATTTGAAGAGGACTGACTTAAGTTGGTAGAAGAAAAGAACTGCCACAGTAGCTGATGAGAAGGTCAAGCACAGGGAAGCACAAGGGAAGCAGCCGGTGCACTAAATCACTGGTGTTATGCAATAATATATCCTGTATATTACAAATAAATGATTAACTAGAACTGGAGTTGTAGTTAATTAATTAACTTATTCAAAATTTGAGGTAAACTATAACTATGCTGACTTACCAGGATTTTGGGCCTTTCACATCTGGGTGGCACCTGATAAAATCGGCTGTTAAATCCAGTTATTCCCACTGAGTGACTTAGGTTAGACTATCAGCAGAGCTAATAATTATCATTCAAAGAACTATTTATCTCTGTTTATTCAACTGTCACCAAAAGGAGGGTGATTCTGTCCTGAGTGATCAACCATTCGCTGTACAAATCACAGCGACTGCAGGTTAAAACCACAATGTCTTTATTCTAATAATTCAGGATTACAGAAATCTAACATCTATGCAAAACACTATTCGCTATTAGAAAATAAACACAAGATAGACTAAATGACTAGTTTTGAAGGAAAGAGAAAAAAAAAGGTTCTAAGAGTCCTTATAAAGGGTTTTTTAAGGGAGAACCAAGGTCAATACATTAATTAATGTCCGTTCGAAAAATAGCTGGAGATACAAATACAATGATAAATACCGTAAAAACAATGTAACTTAATTGAGCTTGTGACGATTACTTTACAAATGCATTAACAATGCCGCATTGTAGCACCTCAGTAATTCAACTAACCTAGTTAGATAAAGGGGGGACGGGTGCTTTGATGCAAATTCAACAAGGCAGATCAAGTGTGTGAAGATCGGTGTGTGACTCATTGCATTTGGTTTTTGGCAATGTTCCCCAATACTGGGAATAGACTTAAGGGGGCGGTGAGACAGTCTGGCAGAGACTGACTGAGGGGCAGGTATTGATAGGCAGTTTGAGCAGTGAAACAACTTGTCGTTTTTTTGGGCAGCTGCAGGCAAAGCTGTTCACACAATCAGCAGAGTGAATTAGGTTATTCCAGCACCAAAACTCAAAAAATAAAAAAAGTACAAGGTCAAAACTACGATTTGATGGTTTAGTTCAAACCATATTCATGAGTGATAATATCAGAGACAAAGTCACAACTTGAATCAAACTGTAAATCTGGAAATTCACAGACCCTCTAGTAGCATTCTGGCTTTGTTTAAGGAAGTTGGCAAAAACATAAAATCGGAATATAGTCACAATATTTGAGATATGTACTTCTTTAAGACACTGGGTATCTCTTAGGTCCGAACGACTGTTATGTGGGTGATGGAGAGACCTACCGGGGGAATGTGAGCGAAACAGAGGATGGCCATGATTGCCTCTACTGGAATTCCCACTTTATCCTGGAAAATGGAGCTGATCCCTTCAACTCATTTGACAACAAAGATGGGCTGGGGCCTCACAACCTCTGTCGGTCAGAGAAAAATGACAGAAGTGTGTTCCAGTTACGGAAATCATGACAGACCAATGGTTACTTAGATTATATTTTCATCTCACAGAAACCCAGATGGGGAACCAAAGCCCTGGTGTTTTTTCAGAAGAGGACGAAAACTGTTGTGGGACTATTGTGATGTGAGTCAATGTGATCAACCGACAGGTCAGTGACTAAAGCTCTTGGGAACTTCATAACTCTGACTTTAAGGTTAAAAATCTGTTATAAAACCATCTGTTTGAATTTTCAGGTGAACCTGCTACTGTTGAGCCACCACCATCTACTACTAAAGCTCCACAGCCGACCACCAAGGCCCCACAGCCGTCCGAAGAGACTTCAGTTGTCCCTACAAACCCCGCTATTGTCTTAACTCCGTCTCCCACTCCAAAACAGTTCGAAACTTGTGGCATACCTCAACCGAAAAGGGCCCTAACCCGAATCTTTGGGGGTCTGAAAGTCAGTCCTGGGGCAATTCCCTGGCAAGTTTCTTTGCAGCAGAAACCGAAGAACTCCAATGTTCAATACAGTCACGTCTGTGGAGGAGTTCTGATTGAGAGCTGCTGGGTTCTGACCGCTGCCCACTGCATGTAAGTGACAATTTAGTGATTTAAGCCATTTATTTACACAAATGCAGTGTTTTTGGAGATCATAAAATATTTTTTTAAATCAGGATCATGAGTGGAAACAGTTTAAAACTATAAAACTACTGTATCAAACTATACTGTGTTCCTCTTTGTGTGGACTAGGCTCAAATCAGAGGAATTTAGATAACTGTCATTCTTTTCTTTCCTTTCATGTTGTTTTTCCACAGAGAACAAAACAAAGATATGCAGGTGGTGATGGGTACCCTGTCACTGGATATGACTGATCCATCTGCACAAGTCATTAAAGTTGAAAATGCAATTGTGCATGAAAACTACAGGGAGACTTCTGCTGCTGTTTTTAATGACATAGGTAAAACTAGGAGCTGTGTTTCTTCCATGATACGCATCATTTTCTAAACAGCAATAATGTCCCATTTAAGCTCTGTTGAGCTTAAGATGAACACAAGTCCAAAACAGACATGAGCCATAATATTAAAGACTAGATTTCAATCTAATAAAACCAAGATTCAAAAGTAACAATTTGAAAACCTAATAAAAAGGCACTCTGTGAAGAGAGGTAAGGGCACTTATTTAAAGACCTGAGACTTCATCTTCTTGCTTCTGGTCGACTCGTCGATGCATGTCACTGCATTTCACTGTTTGAAAAGATTTCTATACCAGGGCTAATGCATCTTTTTGTTTTTTCATGAGTTTGTGAAATAACAAATTTCCCGATAATTCATCCCGCTTACAGGCTCACTTTCCTGCACTGTGTCACTGAAGTATCCCACTATAAGCCAGAGAATCTGAATTTCTAATTTATACTATGTATTTTGGTGTGGTAGTGTGTATTCTCAAAATGAGGACACTGCCTCAGACTTTATTAGTCAGTCTGCAATCAGTTTTCGTGCAACATATAATAAAACAGCAGTCAGCTTTTCTTTCCCACATTTAGCTCATAAACAGAGAAAAAGCATTTATTTTTTCTGCTCATTAACTTTGGTAAACGTGCCGACAAAGGTTTGAAGACAGCAAGTACTGACTAGTGAGTTTGGCACGTGTTTTAGTTTTATAGACAGCTGAAAGAGTGCATTTTTTCGCATGATAAATTTTAATGGCCATGATCCTCTTTGTAGTTGAGTTTTTGACTCCTTGCTTAACCCTAACTTACAATTATTAAACTGTTTGGGAACATTTCTAATATGATATAAATAGTTAAATTTAAAATTTAAGTAATAACTTGTATACTGCACAAATCTAACTTAACTTTCAGTTTAAATTTTTAAACATTAATTGGATTTTTTTTATTTTTTAGCTTTGTTAAGGCTAAAGGGGACAGATGGATTTTGCGCAAATGAGACCCAGTATGTAAAAACCGCTTGTCTACCAAGTGGCCAACTCCCCGATGGGATGGAGTGCACCATTTCTGGATGGGGAGCCACTGAGGACTGTATGTATGCAAGCTTATTACATAACGTGGTCCACTGTTTACTACAACATTTAATTTGTGCTGATGTTTGATCAATTAAATCTGCAGCAGAGTATGGCACCAATCACCTGTTGGAGGCCAATGTTCTACTTATTAATCAGGCAAAGTGCTCTGAGCCCGAAATTTATGGTAAGGTCCTGGATAATAGCATGTTCTGTGCTGGACATCTACAAGGGGGAGTTGATTCCTGCCAGGTGAGTCATCTTATGACTTTAGTCAAAAACAGCTTTTTTTTTTTTTGGTTTGTTTTCAATCTTGTTTTATTTTATTAAGAATTATTGTGTTCTCTTTTATTCTAATTTCTATAAATCTCTTGTTTCAGGGAGATTCTGGAGGTCCACTGACTTGCAAGGAGAATAACACCAGTGTTGTTTATGGTGTGGTGAGCTGGGGAGACCAGTGCGGAAAGAAAAACAAACCAGGAGTTTATGCAAGAGTCACTCATTTCCTTGATTGGATCAAGTCAAAGACTCAAGCATTTCCTTAGATAACCTTAGGATAGTTGTGATGAACCTGCCTGTGTGTTTCTGTTATTTCTTACCTGCCATGATTTAACATACCGGTAGCTAAAAGAAAGACCTAATCTCCTCCAAACATTTTTCTCTTATATTTCCTCTCGATAATGTAAAGTTACACCCCAGTGTTCCCTCGTGGATAAAGTGCCAGGCTCCTGCTTCTGTTTCCTATCCTTTCACTTTTGAACATGTTAGGTAAAATAAATTCAAATAATTGACCAGAGATTTGTTGTGGACTGTTTTCCTCTGATTGGTTGTTTATTTGATCTACAGACCAAGCACTAAAACATGTCAATTTTGTTGTTTTCTTTTTTTATGCATCTAAGCTAAAAAAAACAAACAAAAAAACTCCATTTTCAGTTTATACACAAAGTACTAACTGACATGCACATTTATTAAGTCTACAGAAACTGTATTACTTATTAGAATAAGCTTTAACCTGACATGGGAATTATCTTTTATTTACTTTGATTCTATGATATGTTTAAACAATGAAAGCTATTAAAGAAAATACCGTGCATATTTTTTTCTATATTATATACTGTAGTTCTTGGAGAGATTTTTTTGGGGAAAAATAAAAATTAGTATCAGTGAAGGAAAATCTCTTTCCTGAAATTTTTTGTTTTAATCTATTGAATTAGAACATTTGACTTTGATTTAGAATTTCAAAAATAAAAGCAGAATAAGATTATGTATCTCGTTTAAGCTGCTTGGATTTTCTGGGACATTTTATTTACCGGTAGTTATCTAGGACTTTCTGTGTGTTTAGATCTGTCACAGACACTCATTTCTTACAGCCACTCCAAAAGGAGAAACACCATGAACACCTCCACCATGTACAGTGTGAGTTTTTATCTCTGAAACAGCAGAAATTCATTTCTTCTTTTTATAATTGCATAAACTAAACAAACAGAAAGAAATTACAATTTTATTACATTATTTAATTTGGCAACCCAATGATCCCTGCTAGATAAACAGATCCACAGATATCAATACTCAGTTACTTAAAAACTGGCTTTACAATTCCATAAGGTAGAAATATGACATGATACAGGTGCCGCTCTTAAAAATGTAAAAGACAAGAAAGCCTACAATTAAAATCATGCAGATTTAAGTCAGTCTTTACAGTTTAGGAAATGACCAGGTTTTCTAAACATGCCCATACCTACAGTCAGGAACACTCAGCATGGGTTTCCTTTAGTCATAAAATGTTTTTTTCTGACCATGAACTTGTTAAAATCCTGGGTAATCTTAGTCCTCATTTATCCAAATTTTTGAAATTGTGAGAATAATGGCTAAAATTAAATAGGTCTAATGGAATTTCAACACAGTTAACTGTTGATGTAATTCGATTTTGCCTGGTGAGCCTCTTGCTGTAAGGCCACTGACATCTGAGACTGAAGGCATGCTTTTCCTCTGTGGACTGATGAACTGGGAACACAGTTACACAATGAACTAGTTTATAGGTGAGTAGTTTATTCATGATCCATCTGGTCTCTGCAATGCACCACAACAAGGTGAACAAATAAGGGCTGGAGAGCTTTAACCGTGGAAAAGAGTTTACCACAGGGCCCTGAAGTAGGGCATTCCTACTAATAACACTGAGTGTTAGCCCTTAACACTTATATTTTATATTTTGAGGGGTTCAGTTGAATAGATAAACAAGTTATTAATAATAGTTTATTGAAGCATCTGAGAAGTGTGGTATGCATTTATATTGAAAGCCAACTGATGCCCCTAATAAGACCAGAGTAATTAATGTGTGCGATTTATTCTCAGTCATTGCATCAGTTCTATTAGGTCATAAGTGCTTGTAAAAACAAAACAAAATTATAAGTTAAAAATACATCATGACCAAGGAACACATACAGGTCAATGATTAAGCTGTGGGGACTCAGGAAAACTCCGGGGGAGCTGCAGAGATCCACCACTCAAGTGGGATCATCTCTTGTCAATGTCAAAAACATCATACTGTGATACTTTTCTTCTTCAGGGACAAGGAAGCTGGTCAAAGTTGATGGAATGATTGACGGAGCTAATGCAGCTGTATTAGAGATGCTGGAAGAACACCTGTTTGAGTTCAAGGTTTAATGTTACTTTATTTATACCCATGGGTGAATTTGTTTTGCAGGGGTTGAGCACACATACATACTAAAGTACACTGTGCAAAGACATGTCCAAAGCCAATCACATTCAATCAGTTCAAAGCGCTGAAGACTTCACAATTCAAAGTAAAACAGGAGACATGAGGGGGTCCGGCTCAAGATAAAAAAAAAATACATAAAATAAGACAGATTAAGATACACAGATGGAGTTGACATACAGTACTAGGTTCTGGTCAATATTTCTATAGAACAAATAGAGTCGTTTCATCAAATCCATGAAGGTTGCAAAAGACTTCAAAGTGGGACAAAAGTTCACCATGCAGCATGATGATTCACCGTGCAGTTAGAGATATAATGGGATAACTTAGATCCAAAAATAAAACTCTGCAGCTTTAACTTTTGTAAAAATTTATTTAATATCGTTTTGACTTGGGGAATTTCAACACAAGTGCAAAGTTCTCAGATTTTCTGAATACCATCAATATCTTTTTTCCAATTTGCAATTAGGATACGATAACATATAGAAAACCGCAGTGGGTATGGATACTTTCTCAAGGCACCATTAAATAGGACAGTGACAAGAAAGGTTGGACTTGCACAGTATACTCCAAGCATGTTCACCTTCTATCAAACGTCCTATAACTACTCAATAAAAGGATTGTAATAATATAAGAGTTATACATAATTATGGTAAGGTAAAATAGCCTATACTCTACCTTCTAACAAACACTGAGATAGATAGATCAATTTTATCCATGCAAATATTTATTTCTATGCAGCTTTACAGGCAATTGCTAAACTGAATGATAAACACATAACATATTTTTTTATTTTGTAGATATTCCCGGTTTCAGAGCTGTCTGGTATTCATTTTTCATTTTCCTCCTAATTCCAGGGATCCTTAATGCTAAACAAAGTGAGTGGCTGCCTGTTGATCCCATTCATATCAATGCACGGGTTAAACATGGGGTAAAGAGGCTCTGTGCACTGCATACGGAAAGTGTGAAGCAGAGTCAATGCATCAGCATCGTAGAATGACAGCTCCCCCGTCTGGATATTAGCCAGTATTCCCAGCTTCCTGACTCTCTTTGCTACTGAAAGCTGCTTCTCTCGTGTGTCATGACAAGCCAGGTACTGTCCATCTCCATGGTAGATGCACCAGGATGCGTTGTTCACCTTCAGACTGGAGGAATTCTGAGGAGGAGGTTTTGTTTCAGTGACCAAACCTGTGGTGACACCAATCATCCAGAAAGGTTTCTCCTGGACAATCACCTCCCAGTAATGCTGGCCATCAGTAAAGCTCTCCTGAGCTAAAACACTGTACTGGGAGTCATACGGCTCAGGGGTCAGTCCATCACCAACAGGATGGCATCTCCAGAAAACTTGTTTTTTATCTGGAGATATTTCCAGCTTCGGATGGGCTGTTTTTGGATCTAAAGCAGGTGAACTTAGATCTGCAGTAAAAGAAAAAAGAACTACAGTAAACACTCCATCAAATAGTAGATCATTTGTTTATTTGATGATTTGTTCAGAAAAAATTTAAATTAAACACTGACATGACCACATTCGAGGAAGGTGTTGTGAAAGAGCTAGTGAGAGGTCATCAACGAGCCTCTCAACTGTTTTTAGCTTTTCATGGTCACAAAGATCCCTGTTTACTGGCTTTACAGGAGAAAAATCCAAAGGATCACTGGGGAAAAATATATATCAAAAGATAATCAAATTAATAAAGATAAACATTAAACCCTAAATGCACCAAAAAGTACAGATTTCATGGAATGTATAACGACATACTCACCAAAGATTCTGTGAACTTGCTTGCTGTTAAAAAAATTAATACAACATGGGTTTTTATAAATCTTACTTTTAGGGCCTTTCACAAAATAAAGCAGAAATAAAGACGAGGAAGTTCACAAAAAAATAAAATAAAATAAAGGAATGTGCAAATAAAAACGTCCATTATGTATGTTGCTTATCACAGTATCTCTGCTTAGATTAAACACATTTTCTGTCAGAAATTTAGATCCATTGTCAGGGCCATTATTGTCATTATTTTGACGACTCTCCTTTAAGAGAACAAAAATACTCTGACAAACGGGGGAGATTTCTGGCAAGATTGCTCCTTTGAAGAATCATTTTATTATCACGCAACTTTATCTTCTCTTAATGTCACTTTGGGACTGTTTTCAGTTTAAAACAACCATGTCTGCCAATATCAGCTATTTTAAAATGAGGTGATGTTAAAGATTTTGATATCAGTGCTCCTTTAAAACAGCCCCATGAACAATATAGATCCCACTATGCTTGCCAGTTAAAGGGAACAATTGCTCATTTTTAAAACTTTTCCAGACAAGGCACTTGGCTTGTCCACTGGGTGTTCAAACAAAACTTATTTAAAAAAGATAAACTAGGCTAAAAGGGAAGACTTCAGGTGAGAGACATATTTTAAGATTACTATAATATACCATGTGGGTTTATGTACTTACCTGAAGGAACTGCAGGTCATTTGTTTCCTGCAGAAGCGCTTTATGAGAGGCTCTTAATCTGTCTATCTCTTTAATCTGAGTTTCCGTGATGCCCCTCTGGGCCTCGAGCCAGTCCGTCATGTACGTCTCCTCTGCGTCTATAATCTGCATCATCAGACGTTCATCAGCATCCAAAACCACACGGATTCTGCTGTACTTGTCTGTGATTTTCTCTCGGAAATCTGCAGCGGCTTTCTGGAAAATAATTAAAATCTTATAAACTCAAGGATTTGTGCATGAGAAAAGACACGTGTATCATAAGTTCACAATGACGGTACCACAGTTTGTGTATATAGCGACTCCAAGTCCTGAATGGTGTGCTCTGCTTCCTCTCTCCTCTTCAGTAATTGGGTCATATTATTCACTAACACACTCTGAAGACAGAATAAAACAATTGTTTTACTTGTGGGGCTTTAAAAATAATGCTGTCATGTACTTTAAAAGATATTTTCCCATGTGCACTCATGTGAAAAATGCTTACAGTATATAGTTTTCAAATATATCGTTCCATATATTATACTAAAGTGGCAACATCGAATCTGGTGTTTGTTTTTTTTTTAATGCAAACTCCATGGAAAAGATCCTAGACAAGTATACTGGCAGTAGTCTCACTTTACTAAGTAGTTCTCAAACATTTTATAATTGGTTGCTTTTTAATTGATGCTATTACTTATTTGACATGTTGTTTTAGAGATTTGTGAACTTAAACTAGCCGGCCAGCAGGTGGATAATATGGAGTAACGGGCCAATATAATGGCAGTCCATCCATCCATCCATCCATCCATCTTCCTCCGCTTATCCGGGGTCGGGTCGCGGGGGCAGCAGCTTAAGAAGGGAGGCCCAGACTTCCCTCTCCCCAGCCACTTCTTCCAGCTCTTCAGGAGGAACCCCAAGGCGTTCCCAGGCCAGCTGAGAAACATAGTCTCTCCAGCGTGTCCTGGGTCTTCCCCGGGGCCACCCCCCGGTGGGACGTGCCCGGAACACCTCACCAGGGAGGCGTCCAGGAGGCATCCTAAACAGATGCCCAAGCCACCTCAACTGGCTCCTCTCGACGTGGAGGAGCAGCGGCTATAATGGCAGTGTCTGAAATTATCAAATTGTGTAGGGATTATTTTTCCAAACTGGATTTGAGGTTGATAATCCAGGTCCAGAAAGTAAAATGTCTGTTATGAGATTAGTTCCAACCCTTTTGCAATTTCTAGCCCCAAAATGCAGACTAATCACCTGAGGGTCTTATCACCTGGTTAAGTGAAAGGATGGGGGAAAAAAGTAAGGGTTTTTACTTTCTGGACCTGGGTTAGCCACCTCTGGACCACCATGATAAGTTCGAATAGTACAGGCAGTAAGGAAGAGGAAAGAAAAATGAGCCTGTATGCTTCCTATATAGGCTCAATCCAAATACAAATTGTTGCCCCTAGCTCCTTTTCCAACTCCTATGATTTCACTGGGTCAACAGTAAGAAAACTATCCAGTTAGAAAACTGCTGTTCAGACTGCTGTGCTTAATCTTTCAGAAAATAATAACAATAAACAAAAGTCTTTGTAAAATCCTCTATTATAACTTCCAAAACATACAAAGGTTTGAACATTTGCTTCTATCACACATAGTGCATGTCACAAAATATTGCATTGAACTCTGTGAGGTGGGCAGTGCCTGTACTTCCGGTCACACGAAGGACTATGAGCAACCATATAGCTCTTAACGATGGTCAGAGATGTTTGGAGGTCCTTAGCTTTTTCCCTACTGCCATCACTATCTGGATAGCACTTATTATGGAGACTGCGGGTGCACTCCCACCAAGGCTTACAGTGTATGCTTGACGATTGGAGGTTTTTTGATTGTGCTCTGCTCCCTGACAAGGAGCAATAAGGAATCCCACAATCCTTTGCTGGAATGATGTGGAAATATAGACTCCCTCACAGAAATGAACAAAAATACACAAATTCTTCCCCTGTAATGATCATGACACATGCAAATGTTCCCTCTTTAATATGTTAACCCTAACCCTGTGGAATGAATTGAATGATGATTTAAAGTTATGTCCTTTCTTGGTGAATTTTAAAAAGGCTTTAAAATGTAAAATGATCAAATCTTATGTCTAATGTAGATTAGTATATTTATATACGCAGTAAAGAACCTGGTAGGTTGTAAAGGTTGTAAGTATCAAACAGAGTAGGCAATAATAAGCTTTGCTTCAGCCTATTCCTTTTTTTTGGTAAATTGTTGGTTTTGTTTTGTTTTGATATTGTTGTTTAATGTTGGATTTGCTAAAAAAATAAAGTGAAAGTGAAGTGAAGTGTGATGGAGAACTGTCAATTGCTATATTTGTATATTTGCCTTGCAACATCCATTAGGGTAATGATGTCTGGCACAGCTGTCTGGCCTTCCTTTCCTATACACGGTATTGTTGTGTTGACCCCAGCAGGTAAAGTAAGAGGAGATACAGTTGGAGGATTTCAGTAGCAGTCGATGCCTCACATGCAAACATTCTAACAACATCCTCACATGCATCTACTGTATAGTGATCACTGTGTATTAAATCATTCTTGAAATCATTTCTTGTTATAAAGACAATAAATATGTTACGATAGCAGAAGCAATAAATGTTAAATGTCACCCTTAAGTCGACACTGGATTCATGAAGTTGTGCTGCCTTATGGTCCTTGTGGGCCCCAACCAGAACACATAAACAACACACAGGGATCCTCTCCTCCATACAAAAGAGCTTGAGCTCATCCCGGTGCTCCCTGCACTTCAGCGACAGCACATCCTTGGTAACATCCACCAGTGTGTGCTCCCTGAAAGCAGATCTCTGTTGGTGCAGCTGGGCATGGGCCTCGCACAGTGAAGCGTCACAGGTCAAACAGGTCCTTATGGCCACAGACGGCTTCTCTATGCAATGATCACACTGGATAGGTGAGGAAGGTTCTGCCTCAGCTCCTGCTCTTTGTTGATTTTCAGTATAGTCCTTCACTTTTTGCTGCAGTCCTGCGTTTATCTCCAGAGTGAGGTCAGAAGGGAGGAATATCTGACATTCTGGACAAAAGAAAGGACCGTTGGTTGACTCATCTGTTTCCCAGACGGCTTGGATGCAGGTGAGGCAGAAATCGTGTCCACACTGAAGCGTCACAGGTTCTGTGAAGAAATCTTGGCAGACCGGACATTTCAAAGGTTCGCTAACTGTCCCCATGGTGCTGCTTTTGCCTCTCATGGCAAACTGCTGAGCTCAGAGCTCCTGAACCTGCAGATCATCAATGTTTCATGAGTGTACAAACCACTAAAGAGCCCCGCGGTGTCAGGTAACTAAAGATGGGGTGATATCAGTAACCGATCTACTCCCGGGAGATATACATCTGCATTTCAAAACGCAGAAATTAAATACTATGGGACTAATTAAGTTTAATGTTGTTTGTAATATATTTTATTGCTGTAGTCTTTTATTGTAGAGGAAGATCTTTGCTTCCAATGGCTGTGCTATTAGTTTGCTTGGAAATCTCATGATAATAAAAATGAAACTTAAGCTAATAAATAGGTTTCCAATCCTTTTCATGAAGATCATAATAATCCAGGTCATTTTATGATTTCTTTTTCTTATGTTTTCTTTTTCAGGCTAGATTGGTTTTCCAAAGAATAAATGTCAATTAATTTTAAAAACACAATTTGACAACACTATCAACTGCAATCGTGTTGCAATTCAATTGTGCTGCAATTCAATCTGGATATTTAAAAACTGCACAAGTTTGAAGAGGGTTCAGGCTTTGATAAAAACATTCCAAGTGCTTTAGCTACAAAAGAAAAAGTCTGTGGCGTCAGAAAATCCTGGAGGCAAACTCAATGACATTCAAGTCCAATTATTCAAAAGCTGGGTGTGCCCAAGTTTCTGTTACACTTGGATGAAAAGAGAATGGGTGACATTTTTCAGAGCAATCACAACTTTAGTATTGTTTGGCTCTGTTGCTGTTCCTGTTTCTGCTGTGCTTGTGTTGGCCCCGCCCCTTCTTCCTTTTATCATAACATTCTCAGATTTTAGACTTTTTAATTCAGGATATACCTCAAGTTTAAAACATTTGATTGCAGGATATTGATTGATTGACTTTATTGATCTAACAGTGGAGAAATGTAATCATTACATCAGCTTATAGTGAAAGGAGAAGAATGTGCCAAAGGAAGAAAAAGTTTAATGGGATATATGCAGTATATATAGTGCATCCACATGTGACAGCTTTTTTTTTTTTTTTTTTACAGGATTATTATACAGTGTTATTGCACAGGGTGTTTACATGGGTGTTTATATAGATGGATATTTATATTTATATATATGGTTATTGCACTGGGTGTCAAATATAGAGAAACAGGTTATTACACAGGTATGAAATAGTAATTGCACATTCTATATTGCACAAGTTAAAAGATATTCCATCTGTTTTTTTGAAAAAACAAAAAACAACTACCACTATATAGTGATGCAACCAGATCTGTCTCATGCTTTGCTTGAGCTGCCAGGAGAGCTTAACCTTTTATTGGAAAAGTTATAATTTTTGCTAACTTGGATATAAACACCACTTTGTAGCAAACAAGGCAAAATCGTGAGGTCAAATTTGGTTCGAAGGGTCTGCAAGCTCCACCTTTGTCTTAAAGCTGAGTAAAACGGCTATATAGAATATTATGAATAATATTGCAATAAAATTGCCTGCTATGTGCAATATGGTACCTGCTGTAAATTAAGTAAGAAAATACTTATCAACTTAAGTTAAATACTCAAAAGGCTAAGTAAAAAGGTTAAAGGGGTAATTTAAAAAGTTTGTTGGTTAAGTTTAAAAGTAAAATATCTAAGCTCCTGTATCAGTATTGATGTTTTGAGAGTTATGTTGAAAAAGAAAAAAGAAAAAATGTGTTTCGTTTTGTTAGTGTTTGTTAATAATTTCCTATAGAAGCACTCTTCTGATTTTTATTTATTTTTTTACCATTAAGTGACTATTTTTGTTAACTATATTGACACCTTGATTTTGGCCATAAACTTCTTTTTTTTATAATGTTAAAAAAGTAATAAGGCCTTGTTTTGTCCTCAAATAACAGAAGAAGAAAAATAAATTTTTATGTCAAGGTTTTTCAATGAGTGCCCTATAATGGGTTAATAATTCTAGTTAAATTACATTTTTTATTTAATCTGACTAAATTAAAATTATTGCTAAAATTTTATAAAACTGTTTCTTTTCAATGACTTTCTTTGTGACCTTTTTCTTAATTAAGGGTAATTTGAAACGTAAGCTTCGAGCTTTTTTTTTTTATAGCTGGTGATATTAATTGGTAATATTATATATTACTTTAATTCACTTTTTTATATTTAGCTCCTCTGATTGTAATGGCTCGTATTAACAGACGCCATCCTATAACTTTAATTTCAGCGTAGTAAAAACGTACTTTTCTGACTCTCTATGTGAACGTAGCAGGATTTCTGACGTAGACAGCTTTGGTGAATAGCTTACTTTCCACTCCTCTTCCCAAACAACGTGGGCTGTGGATGTGGCAGAAAACAGCCTGCCTGCCTGCCTGACTGACTACGTGTCCCCTCTTTGCAGACCACTGTAGTGTCGGTTTGTTTACTAACCCTTTGCTCTGTCAGGTAAAAGCTCTTTATGCTTAAAAAAATAATGTTCTTCTGTTGTAAAATGTCTCCAAACGGCTGCTAACTGTGGCTAAAGCTAGCTAATATTAGCTAGCTTCAAGTTCGCATTGACATTAGCTGTATTTTTAAACGGCAGTTCAGTCATATTTATCAGAGTATGAATGAATAATATAGTTGAAGGTTTATTTGTGGAAACATCCACTGTAGTGCTGGGTATTTCTGTTTGATAGCTCAGTGTTTACAGCACCTTCTCTGGGTCAGTGTGTCAACTTCTGATAACAACGTTAACATCATGGAGAGGAAGGCAAACTTCAGAGGAAGCAGAACTTAATGAAGCTTATTGTTTGTTTTCTACTAGTGTTAGACTTGTTTTTAACATTTTTTGTTTATTGGTGCATAGATCGACTTTTCTGCAGCCAATATCCGGATAAAAATGCAGCTCATCTCATTGCACTGGAAAAATGTCTTAAATTAAGAGTAGGTAAATGAGATAGTTTGCCAATGGAATGAGCATTTTTACTCATAAAATTAGACAATATGCACTTCAAATGAGACAATGCAATTGTGTTTTCTTATTTTAAGTGTAAATTGTCTTGTTCCATTGGCAAAGTGTCTCTTTTACCTCCTCAGTCCAAGAACAAATGCACTTTTTTTAAAAGAAATAAAATACTTATCTAGATTTGCATGTTTTCCAGTGTGGAGGTTGTTCCCCTGTCACTGTAACCCCACATTATTGATTTGTGTGATCATGCTTGCAGATCTTCAGGAGTTGGCGACATGTTTGCCAGGCTGGCTCTGTGCTCTCGCCTGCCATCCAGGATCCGGCAGTCCAACCTCTGTCCAGTCTCTGTCAGAAAGTACTCCCAGGCTAAATGTAAGTTGATGTACAGGTGCCAGAGACAGACATCTTCAACCCAGAGTTCTGTGCAGTCTGATATATTATGAAATTCAACTGCAATATTAAGGTCACTTTATTGTTGTTAACCTTCTATTCATTCCTGCATCTGTTATTTCTGAAGGTTTCACCTTTACAGCCTTACCTATACATACATACATACATACATATATGCCATATATTCTTATGTACACATGCATAATTCTGATATTTTGAAATATTGTCTGATTGCTCTACCGTCCATCCATCCCTCCATCCATCCATCTTCTTCCACTTATCCGGTGTCAGGTCGCTGGGGTAGTAACTTCAATAGGGAGTCCCAGATGTCCCTCTCCCCAGCCACTTGGGCCAGCTCCTCCGGGGGAATCCCAAGGCGCTCCCAGGCCAGCCAAGAAACATAGTCCCTCCAGCGTGTCCAGGGTCTCCCCCTGGGCCTCCTCTCGGTGGGACGTGCACCTCACCAGGGAGACGTCCAGGAGGCATCCTAATCAGATGCCCGAGCCACCTCAGCAGCGGCTCTACTCTGAGTCATCCCCGGCTGCTCCTCACCCTACCTCTAAGGGAGAGCCCAGACACACTACGGAGAAAACTCATTTCAGCCGCTTGTATGCAGAATCTCCTTAGAGATGGGGTGAGGAGCTCAGTCATCCGGGGAGGACTCAGAGTAAAGCCGCTGCTCCTCCACATCGAGAGGAGCCAGTTGAGGTGGCTCGGGCATCTGATTAGGATGCCTCCTGGACGTGAGGTGTTCCAGGCACGTCCCAGGACACGCTTGAGGGACTATGTTTCTCGTCTGGCCTGGGAGCGCCTTGGGATTCCCCTGGACGAGCTGGTCCAAGTGGCTGGGGAGAGGGACGTCTGGGCCTCCCTACTGAAGTTGCTACCCCAGTGACGCGACCCGGATAAGCAGAAGAAGATGGATGGATGGATGGGTGGATGGATGGATGGATGGATGGATGTATCCAGCATCTCATTCTTACTCTACCGACGAACGCAAAAGAAAATCTAAATAACTTCATATCTGATTGACATGTCTTTTTTCTTGAAATGTGCATCTTGAAAATGGAGTCTGTAACCATCATAGCAGCACAGAGTAGCTAGGTCAGTCGAATATGTAAAATGTGGATCACTGAAACTACACTGTTTTGTTCATTAAAGAACTGCAGGCATGTCTTATATTAAAGTCAGCTAGTTGTTTTGCGATTCTTGGTTAAAGATCTAAAAAATCAGCTGTAGAAATACAGGGAGTAATATAGGGATATATAGGAATTAGCAACAGTTTTGTTTTTTAGTCCTAGAATTAAACACAGACTAATATTAAAATCTGATGTTTATTTCCATCTTGTTGTTTTCTGGGTGTGTTGGGGATGTGAGAGTGATAATGATGTAGGGTGGGATTGAGGGGTGTTTAACTGAAGCCTTGAAGCAAAGTAATTCATGTAAACATAAATATTGATGCATTAGTAAAGCAGTGAGATCTGACTGGGACTTGCTCTCAGAAAAGGTAGCTACAGTTTTATAAGCTAGATAGATTTCTGTCCCTATGTAATGATAGCACAGACTAAACGTCTTGTGTAGCAGTCTGCTAGGAAAATTTATTAAAATTTGGTCCAGGATAAAAATCAAGATACGGAGCTGTTAAGAAATTCTCTTCATTTCAGTCATCTAATTGTTTGTTCTGATTCCTAGATATCAGCATCAGCCATGAATCTCCCCACATTGCTTTACTTTTCATGCTAGAATTTAAACCCATTAAAATGTTCCCTTATACTGCTTATCTTTTAAGTGTTGAAATGTGTCTATCACTCCCTGCAGTTTTGCTCCCACGTCCCCATGGGAAATCGTTTGCTCACCGCAGTGAGTTGAAGCAGGCCAAGCGCATTGTGGTGAAGCTGGGGAGTGCTGTAGTCACGCGAGGGGATGAATGTGGCCTGGCGCTGGGGCGGCTGGCCTCAATAGTAGAGCAGGTGAAACTGCTGACATGTTACAAACCTTTTTAGTGGAGAATCTCTTTGAAATCTAAACTTTAATGTGGTGGTTTGTGTCTACCACAAGGTGGCAGTGTTACAGAATCAAGGCAGAGAGATGATGATTGTTACTAGTGGCGCTGTGGCGTTTGGGAAGCAGCGGCTGAGACATGAGATTCTGTTGTCGCAGAGTGTCAGACAAGCGTTGCACTCTGGACAGAACCAACTCAAAGACATGGTAAATAATGTGCTTTATGACCAGAAGATACATTTCACCTATTTAGATATTTCGTATTTTCTCTAAACATTAGATTTTTATTCTTTAATAATTTTTTTTGATTCAGTCAGTTCCAGTGTTGGAGGCCCGAGCATGTGCAGCCGCTGGACAAAGTGGTTTGATGGCTCTGTATGAAGCGATGTTCACCCAGTACAGCATCTGCACCGCACAAGTATGTTTTTGGCTTTTGTTTCAGAGTAAAACCAAACTCAAATAAAAAAAAACAAGAGTTTCATAAAATAGATTTTTTTTTTTTGGTCTACTTCTAAAGATTTTGGTCACCAACCTGGATTTTCACGATGAGCAGAAACGCCGTAACCTGAACAGCACGCTACACGAACTACTCCGGATGAACATCGTGCCTATCATCAACACCAACGACGCCGTTGTGCCGCCCCCTGTTCCCAACAGTGACCTGCAGGGGGTAAATGTGGGTACTGTGTGTTGGGCATGCTGGGATTGGTGGATCATTGTGAAGTCGGACCACTAACGTAAACATTGTCTGCATGCTTGTCAACCTCAAAATGACCATTAATATTAATCTTTTGAGTCGTATTGAAATATTCATCAGCATTAGTTGAATGTTCTGTTTTCATAATGTGGCTGAATTTGTTGATGCTGAACAGATGTTTAATTTTTAAGTCTTATGTGTCAGATGAATACGTTTGTTTTTGTCTTTTAGGTCATTAGCATAAAAGATAATGACAGCTTGTCTGCTCGGCTGGCTGTTGAGATGAAAGCTGATCTTCTCATCGCTCTGTCTGATGTTCAAGGTAGAGTGAAGAAGAAAATGTGACGTTAATGTAAAATGTAATATGGCTGAAAAATTTACCACGTTATAAACCTTTCTTATCGGCTAAGATCGATATTTACTGATAGTATTTTTTTTTTACCTATTTGGAAAATGCCCAAATTTAAACTGTAACCCTTTTAAAACATAACCTTTGAAAATAGGCTTTACTACTTTAGCTTGGTTTGGCTCTCAGAGGTTGAGAAGCTAAATCTCCCTGTGGTTCTAGATCGGAGATCAGCGGATTTATTGAACATTTTATCAGACATATTTTGTATTGATATTAATCAGATATCAATGCTGATAGATATTCATTTATTGCACAGCCGTGTGTGAGTCAGTGCTTTCTGTATAAGCTGTTGTTTGTACCCGGCAGGTTTATATGACAGTCCTCCAGGAACAGACGATGCTAAGCTCATCGATATTTTCTACCCCGGGGACCAGCAGTCAATCACCTACGGGACAAAATCCAGAGTTGGCATCGGTGGCATGGAGGCCAAGGTTAGTGCTGCAGACAATGTTATCTCTACTTTTTATACAGGAGGATCTAAGCTTTGAACATGATAATGATATGATGCTTTCAGGTGAAAGCAGCTCTTTGGGCTCTTCAAGGAGGGACCTCTGTGGTCATCGCCAACGGCACAGACCCTAAAGTCACCGGACACGTCATCACAGACATCGTAGAGGGGAAAAAAATTGGCACCTTTTTTTCCGAGGTCAAACCTGCAGGTACTTGTTGAGAACACATGGTATTGCATATTCCATTATTGTTTTTAAATGTCCACTCGTATTTAACTTGTATGAATTTACTTATCTTGTCAGGACCAACTGTGGAGCAGCAGACGGAGATGGCCCGGCATGCTGGGCGGACACTGGCCTCTCTACTTACTGAACAGGTGTGTGGGTTTAAAAAGTATGACCTGAAATGAGGAGATATTGTAGTTTACTATGTTGGTTATAGTTTGCTTTTGTTAAATCATAATATTTTTGCCTTTTTTATTTATGTTTTTGCAGAGAGGAGAAATCATCTGCTACCTTGCTGATCTGCTTACAGAAAAGAAGGAAGAGATTCTAAGTGCCAACAGAAGAGACATGGAGATAGCAACAGCATCAGGTAGAGGTTATTGCTGCTGGTTTTGGAAGAAAAATTATATGTTTTGATCAGAGATGCACTGATCTATCATTTCCTAGCCCAAAACCTCAGCCTTTTTTATGTTTGACCTGCCATAGCCAATTTCTTTTTCCTTAGAAAGCTCAAACACAGACTGGTATACTAAATAGTTTTAAAGCTTGGGAAAATTTAAGTTTTTTCATAATCTTTGTCTGAATTTGATGTTATTCTAAAATTTGGCATTAAAGTTTACCTTGTTGTGTTCATACAGTACAACAAAATGGAGGGAGTTAGTTTTGATGCATTTAAAAAGAACCTAAAATGAATGTGGATTTAATTTTAATAATTGGAGCATGTTGAATTTGCATTTTCAGCTTAATTTTTTTTTTTCTCTGTCTGCATACAGGTCGTTTGTCACAGCCTCTGATCAATCGCCTCAGTCTGTCGAATGCTAAGCTGAACAGCCTTGCTATCGGCCTCCGTCAGCTTGCCGTGTCATCCGGGAATAGCGTGGGCCGAGTGCTGAGGAGGACCAGGGTGGCTAACAACCTAGAGCTGGAACAGATCACAGTTCCCATCGGGGTCCTGCTGGTCATCTTTGAGTCACGTCCTGATTGCCTTCCGCAGGTAGAACAGTCCTATAACCACTTGAAGCCTTTTGATTTTCTTTATACTTCCGGTTGATAAATAAATCTAAGCAATCATATGTTAAAAAAATCATTGTAGGTGGCAGCCCTGGCCATTGCCAGTGGAAACGCTTTGCTTCTTAAAGGTGGCAAAGAAGCATCAAATACCAACAAAATCCTACACCAACTCACTCAGGAAGCGCTCTCAGTTCATGGCGTAGCTGATGCCATTCAGCTGGTAAGACTCATTGGAGATTTGGTCCCCTAATAAATGTTTTACTTGCACTAAAATATATCATTTTATAATTGAAGGTGAGCACACGCGAAGAGGTAGAGGATCTCTGCAAGTTGGACAAAATGATTGACCTGATCATTCCGAGGGGTTCCTCCGAGCTGGTCCGAGAGATTCAAAGGGCAGCTAAGGGCATTCCTGTGTTGGGCCACAGTGAGGGTATCTGTCATGTCTACATTGACAGTGAAGCCAGCATAGACAAAGCTATTGATGTTGGTATGTATGACCTACATAGAACTGATAATTCTCTCTGTGATTTTGCACAAGCTGTTGTATAAACCAGGTGTTATGGACAGGTTTTTCCTTGGACTGTTGCAAATTCTGTCTACAGGAAGGTAACATGTATTTTTATTGGGACTTTACTGCTCAACGTGAAGAAGTGCATATTCGGGATATCTGTATTTGCTGCCCTCCTAGATGGCCTTTAGGATTTTTTTTTTAACAATGGTTTTCCTTTTGCTATTCATCTACAAAGGCCACTAAAGTGATGGTTTCCTCTTTACAGATTAGTCCACCTGTGCTGAGGATTTCTGAAGCTCCTCCAGGGTTAGCAGGCCTGTTGGATGCTTGTCTGGTTAATCCTAATTTTGGCCAATCATTAAAGGGGGATGGTATTCTCTTAGTAGATTTCTAGTAATTCTTTTCCACTTTCAGTTCATGGATTGATACTTTGTTGTTTAAAGTATGGGGCATAGTTTTATAATCTAAGCCTGCTGTACACTTCCCCACACCTTTTGTCTGACCTGTCTGCATTATTTCTTGGTCTTCGCTTTGTTTTTTTTTCCCCCTCTAATGGTGTCTAACAATCCTTTTAGGTTTACAAATCAGCTGTGTTTATGCTGAAAATTAATGCACATAGATGGACTCTGTTTAAACAATAGATCTGAAAACATTTGCTTAGTTAGGAGTATTAACTAGGTGAGTGGATATTGATGCACATCACACTTGATATATTTCTTTTAAAAATTATGCAGTATAAAATTCTACACCATTCTGTGTTGATTGTTACATAGAATTTCAATAAAATACATGTTAGTTCATGGTTGTCATCAAAAGTAAAAATGTGAATACCTTCACGAAACCATTAGTTTAACTTTATCTTTTTTATAACTTAGTACACTTACTAGTGGTAATAAATCTCTCTGTGCAGTTAAGAAATTCTAAATAATCATACACACCATCTGTTGTTCTAGTTAAGGACTCCAAATGTGACTACCCTGCAGCCTGCAATGCCATGGAGACCCTCCTTATTCACAGAGATCTACTGCGTACTCCTTTATTCGATCAGATCATCGATATGCTGAGAACAGAACAAGTAAGAAATCTATTCTCACAGTGATATTGGCTTTAAATAGGAAGTTGAAAAGCCTGTAGAACTTCATGTTTGACAGGTTGGAGTGCTGTTATATTGGTTATCTTTGTCTTTCAGGTAAAGATCCATGCAGGTCCTCGGTTTGCATCTTATTTAACTTTTAGCCCATCCGAGGTGAAGTCTCTTCGCACAGAGTACGGGGACTTAGAGTGCTGTATTGAGGTGGTAGACAGCATGCAGGAGGCAGTGGACCACATTCATAAATATGGCAGCTCCCACACTGATGTCATTGTCACAGAAAATGAGGAAACAGCTGAGCAGTTCCTGCAGCAGGTGGACAGCGCCTGTGTGTTCTGGAATGCCAGCTCTCGCTTTGCTGATGGATACCGCTTTGGTCTGGGTAAGCAACGTATAAGGCAAGCTTAAAGTTGCAAAATAATTGATTTTCCAAATGTTTTATTTTCATTTTAAATTCTGCAGGAGCTGAGGTCGGCATCAGCACCGCAAGGATCCATGCCAGGGGACCAGTGGGTTTGGAGGGGCTTCTCACAACAAAATGGGTCCTTCGAGGGGAGGGACACACGGTGGCAAACTTCTCCGAACAAGGCAGCATGAAATATCTCCACGAGAACATCCCTGTCCCGCAGGGAAATCTGAATTAGAAAATCTCTCAACAAATGTCTAAAAAAAAAAAAAGTTTGAGGTTTGTGTCATAAGGCATAAAGTCAACTTTCTAGCTGCTCCTTCATCGCTTGTTTGAATTGAATTTATCAGTGCAGAAAACTTGGAAACACAAGTAAGGTGATTACCTTCGATTTACATTCGCCTACATTTATGAACCAGTTTTGAAAACTTTGAATTTAAATTGGATGCTTTAGCATATAAAAATGATTCATAAAGAAATACATAGTGCTTAAGTGAAAAAGAAATGCACTATGTAGACATGAACTAAAGCTTTGTTTACCCTGTACAAGCTCATTTTTATTAAGGAATTTAAGAAAAAAACAATTGGCCCATCTGTAATTTTCTAATTTATTTTTCTACATTAGAACTTTCCCTTTGTTTTGTAAATCACTGCAAGTGTTGTTTGTGCAAAATCCTGGTTTAGATTTTTTTTTTTTGCTGTTTTCTTTGCACAGATAATTTAATAAATATTGTGTACAGTTCTTAAATCATGAGTTTGTGCTTTGTTTTCAACCAGAAACAAAAGCCATATAGTCGCAATGTATGTTATGACCAAATGTACTTTATAAACATAACAATTTTGCGTGATAAAGCGGAACAAAGTTCTGCGAAACTAAAATAAAAAGGAAATGGAATATATATAAGAAATACAAGCCACAGACAAATAATGTATTTAACCCTTGAAATAAAATATGTTTAAATTACATTTAAAGAGGTTACCCTATTAGTAAATGGATTTCATCCACTTAATCTAAGGGGATGAGTACAAATCAACATTCTTTTTAGTTTCCTACGTTGCAAAAATTTATTTCAGTTTGTCTTGTATTGAAATGCAAAGCTGTATTATGAAAAAAAAAAATCACATTTGCATGTTAATAATGTTCTCATATCAAACATCTGCTTTTGAAAAAGATTATGGAAGTAATTTCTATATAAAACTTATATTTCCTGCAATGGATGTCCTTTGACCAACCCAGACTGTAGGTCTTTAAACGCAGCACAGCTCGCAGTGGGCGGAGCCTTCGTTACCCGGATGTTCTGACTAGACTGATCAGCTGTCATCCGTGCACCACATAGCAAGGATGGCACTAAGCGGCTCTTATTCTTTAGTTGAATATTTTGGTGGAGATGATGGCTACCGCTGCGGATACTGTAAAAACGAAAAGGGAAACTTTTCTCATGGTAGGTTTGGTTACATGTGTTGAAACTGAGCTGGGCAATGTAGCCTGAAGTAGCTTTTGCTAACCAAGCAGCACCATATACTCGCTTGAAATGAAAGGCTAGAAAAGGATGAAAGGTTAGGTATAGTTGCACTAATACTGTTTAACATATTAAAATGTCAACAGATTTTAAATTTGTTGAATAGCCCTAAAGTGAATACATTTTTGAGCGTTAGCTTAGCTCAGTTTTTAGCAGCTAGCATCCTGTAGCCTAGCTAACTTACTGTGAAAGAAACATTTGCATGATATATGGTATTGCTTTTATGTTAGCTAAAGATCCTTTTTTTTTTAGTTTAAACGGTTAAACGGTCTTATTGGTAACATTTGGGTGCCTTGCCTTGGAGTGGGTAAGGCAGTTGATAGTGTTTCGGTGTAAAGTAAAGTGAAACAAATTTTCCAGATAGACCGGTACTTTACGGCTGGCTGGGATTTTTTTTTTATTGAAGTGAAAAAAAAAAAATATATATATATTGTATATTAGCGGGGCGCGCAGAAGAGTATATATTTAAAGAGCTGTGTTCCTTATATTAGCATTGCCTAGCTCAGGGGTGTCCAGTCCTCAAATGTAGGCAAGTGTATTGATGTCAGACTGCAGCATAATGTAACACTGCAGCTTTGAGTTTCGGTCTGCTGTATGTGCATTATCCAATGTTTTAATTTTGTTGCTGTTTTAAGATCTGATATGTATCTGAAAAATGTTTAGGTCATACTATTTTTTTATTTCTTAGTATTGAAATTTGTATTATTATTATTATTATTATTATTATTATTATTATTATTATCGACACAACCCCTTTAAAATTTAAAACTATTTTGGCTGCACAGCATTATGGCCATGCAATGCAATTTCATTGTATGTTATTAATTGCATTGTTTTAATTGCATTGTATTGCAATAATATTGGTTGTGATGATTGTTTCTGGGATGTTGAGTTTGAACATGGTCTCAAAAATACATACTTATCATGTAGGCATCAATATCAGTGAAAGTATATTTAATTTGATCAGTATATTATTGGGAAGCACATCTGGATAATATTGCAATATATAGTATTCAGTCAAATATCACAGCCGAGCACTTCTTTGTGATTGTAATATTTCTTACACTTGTGGGTATGTGAGTATAATTGGTTTATTACGCTTGAACTCTACTCTTGTATTTTCTTTTCTATTTCTCAGCCTGGACCCTATTGTTAAAAAAAGTCTACCATATTAGCTCTGTTTGAAATTGAGCTTTATTTTCAAGATATTGTAAAACATATATGACGGTGATGTAAAGGGGCAGTGGGATGTCTTAGGTTTTCTATAATTATGGTTCAGGAAGCACAGTCAATGATTAACTGGGTACAGAGTCTGCAGACGATGGTTGTAATCTAATCCAAGAGCTGTAATCTGGGTAGGTTACGTCATGGAGGCATGGCAAAGCCCCAGGAAGTCAGAATCCATTAAAACACTTGTAATTCTTTTTATAAAACGCACATTTTCTTTATATCCAAAGGTAAAGACACAAGGTCAGTTTGTCTTCAGGTTGCATCATTTATTTCTTAAACTTTTTGAAGTTCTGTGTGTTATGTTGCATATAAAGCTTTTATATCTGATGGGAGCATACAATCAGTCTTAATCAGCACAGGAATAATCTGTGGTAAATATTAGATAGCTGTGTACAAGCAATCTTTCTACTCAGTGCACTGTTGATTTTGTTTCCCTTGCTGTGATTGGTGAGGTGTTATCAAGGGTTCTTTTGTACACAAAGCACATCTCACCCTGCAATGCAGACTCCAACATCTGCTGCTTTTGTGTTCGTTATGCTACAGCGAAGACCAAATAATGAATCAGGTGAGGGTTTTTCTACTGGTCTGAAAGCAGCCTTTCACTCAAAAACATGTGGGAGGATTGATTTTGTTCATGTGATGGACACAAGCACTGTAATTACTGTTATAGCGATGTACAACAAGTTTACGAAACTTTTCAAAAGTTGTAAATCTGAAAATTTTACTTTAACTGCTTGAGTCACTTGGTATGCTGGCTGTTTCATGTACAGTATTACAAGGTATTCAAAAGAAAAACTAAGTCTTTACTTTGGATTTCATATGCTAGATATGATGAAGCCATTGAAAGGAAAAGGCGGAAAAAAATCATACATAAATAAAAAAGAAATTGAATGACATCTCTCTCATTTCAGTATAATCTATAAAATAGTTTTTTTTTCAAAATAGAAACACTGTAAATAATATGAAAATCTAGGTCAGTAATAATATCTATCCACAGGTCTGTGCAGTAACCAGTAATGCATCTGGGTTGCCCTCGATTGTACTTTGCATCGGACTATTTTTTCTTGTTAAAAAGAACAAGTTTACTTAACTACACAGTTTAAAAGGTTAATACGGCTTTACCTGTTTTACACTGATTTGATTCGAATCGTAAACACATCCCTCATGTCGGGTGTTTTCCACCATGCTTAAAAAAACCAGCAATTATCAAACTGTTGTTAAAAAAGAGAAGCTTGGATGAATTAATCCTGTAGAGCTACAGGCCCATCTCAGACCTCCCCTTCAGCAGGAAGATTAATGAAGAAGGTGTATTTCAATAGTTAAATGCATTCTTAACAATGAGCAGCTGCTTTGAGGACTTTCAGTCAGGTTTCCGTGCCAACCACAGTACTGAAACTACCCTGATTAAGGTGTTCAATATCATTTGTATAAATTAAGACTGTGGAAGAACCCCAGTACTCATATTATTGAAGCTCAGTGCAGCGTTTGATGCTGTTGATCTTCATTTGCTTTTATTCTTTTATTGTTCCTCTATTTTATTGTCTAATTCATGTAAAGCTCTTTGAATTGTCCTTGTACTGTACTGTGCCCTACATAAACAACTAACCTTGCCAATATGGTATGCAGTGCACCATCTAAAGAAAGACTAAATGCAGATAAGCACAGTGTAATCATACTTTGCCCAACTTCTTTGAGCATGTCTGATGATGTCAGACATCAACTTAATGTGGAGAATGAAAAATGCATTAGATTCTCTCAGAAAAGTGGTTAGAATTTTTTGTATGATGTAGTTTAGCATTCTTTGGTGGTTAAGGATAGAAATTCGTACTTTCAGTACCATAATTATATTATCTATGGTGACCTGGATGAATATATGCCTTCATGTGTGCAAATGAGCCAATAATATCTTATGTTACATTCAGAATTGCCAACCCTTCTACCACAAAGCTCCTGCCACCGATCAACAACTGTTCCTTTTTCAACAATTAAATGGGGCTAAAACAATTGGATTAATCGATTATTGAATTAATCGTCAATTATTCTAGTAATCGATTAATCGTTAAATGGAGTAGAGACCGTAAAACATGCCTGTGGCCGAAAGAATGACCCACTAAAGCAGTAATTATATCAAAATGTGCAATCAAGAACTCCCCAAGTGGAAACATTTTAGTTTCATTTGGTTTAATTTAGTAAAAATCTTCTTTAAGGAACCTTTTGCTATCCAATTATTAATTGATTAATCGAAAAAATAATCGCCAGATTAATCAATTTGCAAAATAATTGTTAGTTGCAGCCCTACAATTACCATAAAAATAAATCTGATAACCCATCTGTTATAGTGCTGTCAGATTTACCTGGGGATCATCTGATCTCCTAATTTAGAATTTTTTTTTTTATTAATTTAGGGTTAAAAGATTATTCCAAAAAAAAAAAAATCAAATGAGTTGTTCCTAATGCAGCTGCTGGTTATTAAAGCTATAGTGGAGGATGTTCTTTTTCCGGATGATCATCAAAATAAGTGGTCCTCCTAATGGTCAATCATTCTGGTGATATGTTTATTTAAGGCCGTCCTACGTGCTCATTTTCACTTACCGGTTGAGAGTCTGACATAGTGGAAAAACTACAAATGTTCTTTTGGAAAGTGAGCTTGAATGAGCGATGCGAACAGAAACTTTTAAACAGAGTGTGCACGAGGAGAAATGGGCGAAATGGGCAAATTCAAAAATTCGCAAAAAATCCCCCATTATACCTTTAAGTCTTGTTTTAGGTTTCTATTGTAGACCTGGCTGCTCTTGTCTCTCTTGAGACCTGGCAACAATGTTTGAGATGGATGTTTCGAAAGTAACTTGTCCTCCAGTATTTAAATGATTTATCCAGTCAATCCAGTTAAGCAGCACTGCTTGGTTGCAGCAATCATGGTTTCATATCCGTTTGCAATTTATCTCATGTTTGCTGGTTGTGTTTGGTAGTTTTCCTCTGTTGAATCAAGCTCTATTCTCCCCCTCTCTGTGGAGTCCAATTAAACCCTATTCTCTCGGGACACGGAACATTATACTTACTACAGATATGTGGGTGTGTTGTGAACCATGATCCAGCCAGTTCTCTTAGCTGTTCCAGATGTAAACTGATAGCCGACTGTACAGACACATAGATCAGTGTTTGTGTTTGTGCACAGTGTGCATGTGGCTGTGTGTGCAAATAAGGTCAGGACCCTGATTTTGGCAGATCTGCTGTGGCTACAAATAACAGATTTGTATGTTTCCACTGGGGCTTTTCAGCACTGTGGGAAATGGGGACTGGATCCTTAAGGAAAATCTGATTTAAGACGCTACAATTTTTTTCCACCCAATTCTACTTACTGAAGAAGTTCTTTAATAGGGGGCTTTGTCTTTTGTTAAACAGCCAGACTAATTTGAAATGAATTTGACACCATTTAAAATTTGGTTTATGAATTAGTTTTTCTACCCTAATTTTTCCAAATAAAACTGCATACAAGTATTTCTATCTTTGTTTATAATAGGTATCAATGTAAAATGCAATACACTTGTTTTATCATGTTTTAATATAAAAATGTAGAATCCTTTCAAAATCAAGTTTTGCTGTAACTTTTTTACAAAATATTTATTTGGAGGCATTTAAAGCTGTTTTTTTTTTTCCCCAGGAATGTGGTCTCATAATATGACTGTACAAGACTATCAAGATTTAATTGATCGGGGATGGAGAAGGTATGTTTTTCTTTTGTTTTAGTTGTGGTTTAAATTAAACTAATAAAGGTTTTACTCAATTTTACAAATTGTAGACATTTTGACAAAAAAAGAAAGGTGTGCATCGATATTTTTGCTTTTTTTTGTGTCTTTGTTGGTGTCTGCTTTCCAATTATGCTGGTGTTGTTTGGATTTTTATTATCCCCTATTGTTGTATCTTTAAAAAATGCACTGATACCAGATTTTTCCAACCCAAGCATGAAATACTAATATTTTAGTATTTTCCCTTAGCGAGTGCTTATTGGATTACTAAGAAAAAGGTTGTGTGTAATGAAAAGTTTTGAAGATATTCTCTGATAACTTTTGCAAACAAAGGGGAACTCTTCCCTTGGATCTATGCAGTTGAAATTCCCTTTTTTTATCTCCTTTTGGCAACTTTGCTAAACGTAAACTTGCAGTCGGGTGTTTTTGACAGTTCCAGGTTCCTCTATAAGAAAGTTGGTTCTGTTACTTCTGTTAACATCTTTTACTTAAAAATACTCCCAAACAGCTGACTTAACTCCAATTTAACATTTTTTACATGGACAAAAGTGACCAGACTTCCAAATATGTCAATAAACATGCCAGTCGAAATATCTGACTTTGTAGGTTTGGAATGAAGTTGTAATCTGAACGAGATTAGGTTAATGCAGATTGGCAATCTGATTGTTATGCATGTAAACTTGTTTGGGAATTGTCCTGATCTGCTGTTTTTATCAGATTTCCAAACATGGAGTCTGTTTAATTTTTTCGACTGTGCAGTGCTACCAGAGGCCTTTAGGAGTTTTAAACATGATAGTTGTAGCTCTAACACCCTCAGTGGCTCAAGTTAACACATTGCTGCTTTAATAATGAAGATTGCCATTGTTTTCTTTTTCAGAAGTGGGAAATATGTTTATAAGCCCATAATGAAGAAGACATGCTGTCCACAGTATACTATCAGGTAACTGTTTTGGTTAACTATTAAAATTTTGGATCATCTGTTATTATATATTCTGGTGTTCTACTCAGATCCAGTGAAACGTTTACAAGGTTTCGTCATGGACATGCATTTATTAATATATTTTACAATTACTATAAACTTTTTTTTTATTTTGATTGAAATTAAATATGTACAAAAAAATAATAATAATGAAATTGATTTGCTTCATAGCACAATATACAATCATAATTATGTTCAACAAAACCTATTAGAGTTGATTTTGCTGATTTGTGTAAATGTTCTAGAAGCTTAATGTTTGCCTACTTCATCACACCCAAAGTTTTGATATATGGTTTCCCCCCCATAGGAATTTTTTTTTAATTGACATTAACTCAAATATCATCCAAGCTTCACTGTTTAGAGCCTTGTTCTTTTTCCAGGGGGATAGCAAATTGGCCTCCCTTTAGGAAGTTAGATCAGTTTTTTTATTTATTTATTTTTGTATTTAGGCCCTTTGTAGTTTTTTTTTTCTTTTTCTTTTTTTTTATTGGAGCCAAAAGAGGAAATAAAAAAAGATATATATATATATATATATATATATATATATATATATATATATAAGCATCAATGACTCTTGCAGTGATCACACACAGATCTGTACAGTCAGTGATACTGACAAAGCATTGCACCAAAGTAAAAAATTACAGTCCAAATGAGCAGCCCCACTTTTTTTTGTATTTATTTTTTATTCCTTATAAGAAAGAAAATGGACAAATTGAAAAAACAAAGTAGGGTTGTGGATACCAAATACAGCAATTAATTGAGAAGGTTCCAAATTTAAGTTCAAGACAGAAGACATAATTGAGAAGTAGTTAGACCAAAAAGTATATCATTCGGGACATGAGAACAATCCGGGAGAAAGAACATGTGGCCCAGATCGCAGGGGGAACCTTTGCATTTGTCACATTCATCCACAACATCCGGGTAAATCTGAGAAAGCCTAGATTTTGATTAGTTTGTATCATCGATAACAGGTCTGAACTTGGTCGTTCTTTGCTGCACTTGAACCAGTTGTAATTTTTTCACCGAGGTTGACAATTTGTATAGGTGGATAAAAATTAGTCATAATTCTTGGTTCCTGCAGGATGATAGTGTCAAACACATGAATTATGCAGAAAAAAAGTATTATGTTGAACCTACTCTCAAAAGCGAGGAAATTATTACCCAGCCAGTAATGAGTGCATATAAGCCTTTGAGTGGACGTGTACACCCAAAATGACCCTTTTTTACATTATTTTACTATTTTCTCTCTTAAGATGTCATGCACTGAAATTCCAGCCTTCTAAATCTCACAAGAAAATCCTGAAGAAAATGAGCAAATTTATTTCCAATGGGGAGTTGCCAGCTGCTCCGGACGAGGGTGAGACAGTTTTTCCTACATGGAAAGCATTTGTCTAATGTTGCAAATAACAGTAACTGTCAGATATCTTGTATCAGAGCTGATGCTGTGTAACTACTGATGGAATAAAAATGTTTTGTTTTTTTTTGGTACGCAGGAGAGCCGATGGACTCTGCTTCCGGGGAGGCTGGTCCACCTGAACCCACTAAAGTCTGTCAATCAGACTTGAAACATATTGCTGCCACGGATAGTGAAAAGAATGTACCAAAATCTCCCATTGTTACAGAAGTTAAGAAAAACTTGGTGGATTCTTCAGCTGCAAGCTCAGAAAATTCACAGAACGACTCGGCTTCTGTCTCAGGTTGTGATACCGCTGCCAAAGCTCCTAAACCAGGTAAAGGATAACAATAATCTTATATTATTTCAGTTACTTTAGTTTTGGGTCATTTTCCAGCATGTTAAATGGATATAGTGCTCCCTCTGTCATCATTTATGTTCCATCTTGTTTTGTTGATTAAATTGATAGTGAATGGTAAAGATTGTAATTTGCATGTTGGATAGCCAGGTCAGGGCCTCTGAAAGTGATGTGTAGGTTTGTGGTAATTTCCCACTTTTATGTACTGCAGGGTCCAGATTTTGTTCTAATGTCAACCTTTGTGCAACCTTTTTATCCACAGAGGTATTGGAATAATCATAGTGCCTCAAGCATAAATGAAAGTATTTATATAGCTGGTAAATATTGAATGCAGCCCTTGCATCTTATTTTTAGCTATAACATTACATACAGTACTTTAGAAATTATGATAAAGTTACGATACAAGTGGGAACCTTTGAGTTTTTCCATAGCATAAAATGCAAAGTCGTGTTTTATTGTGAGATGAAAAATATATCGGTTTTAAACTTGTCTACAAATGGAAGTGGAGCATGCACCACCTTTGGCAGTAATTCAGGTAGCTCATGGTTTGGCTCAGTCTGATAATTTTTCCAATATCTGTAAACATTAGTTTTTAAATCTTGCTACAGATTATTATTTGGTATCAAATCTGTACTTTGACTAGACCATCTAATTCCTGAATATATTTAAGCTAAAGCACAGATATCAATCTCTAGTCATTAAGGGCAGGCGTGCTGCAGCTTTCACATATGTCCCTGCTTTAGACATAATTAACTAAGGGTGTAAATCACACCCATCATGGCGATTCAATTCAGTATTAATTTCCTGACCCAACGATTCGATTATTTTCCATATTTAAGAACACACCACGATACGATTCAATTCATTCGTTAATTTTCTTTTTTCTGATCTTATAGGCTAGACAATGTTTCAAATTTGAAATAAATCCATGAAAGATGTAATGTCTTTATATTTTATATGAGAAACAACAGCAAATAACAGAAGTAGCAAAGTTGTACTCTACCTAGACCTATGAAAACCACATTCACTTAAAAATAATATACGCATGTGTGTGTGCAAGTGGAAAGAGGGTGGTGGCTGAAGGAAGCGAGGTAGGAGGGCAAAATAGGTTTAGTGCCACCGAAGCATAGGAGTCAGAATTACATCCAGGAGCAAATGGATAATAAAAATAGACTGGAGGAAAAAAAAAAACATGAATCGATACTCTTGCTGACGTGTCGATGCATCGGATTATTGGCTGTTGGATCAATGCATCGATATAAAATTATTATTATTTACCCCCCTATAATTAGCTGTACCATTAGTAGGACTCTAGGTATGCCAGCCTTTAATTAGGTATGTTGGACTAGGGACATTTCAAATCGTTGAAAGGCACAGGTCTAAAAGGATTTAATTTTAGTAATCGGTCTAATCATGCTGCCATCCACCTTCCCATCAACCCGGATTGGCTTCTCTTTCATGGATGAAGAAAAGTACACATTTCACAGTGGGTGTCACTACCCGATACGTCCCGGAAGCATGACTTGTTCTGCGCATGCGCCATCAGCTCATTTGCGCATGCGCATCCAGATATACATCTGGGTTGTCCTTGATTTTGTTAAAAATACCTAAATGACGTATTCCCTCCCCAAAAATAGTAATCGCACTAAAATATAATGTATTAAAGGTTAATAATGTATTTCCTAAGAAAATAAATGCCTTAAAATCCTTTATTTTTTATCACTCGTCATTGGATTTAAACGTAAATCTAGTCTTTTTGAGTTTCATGTTTTCGTTTCGTTTTAACCTTATGTTATATAGTGCGTAATTTAAAGAAAGAAACAACTGTAATGACAATAAACATGGTTTAATCATATTTTGCCGGACTGCCCTGAGCATGTCCGATGATGACGTCAGAGAAGCAGTTATTAAAGATGTGTATTAGCATTCTTAGGTGAGATAAGGATAGAAATAAGTAGTTTTAGTATAATTACAGTAATTATGGACACCCGGTTGTATATCTGGATGCGCATTCGCGGGATGGATCGAGTAGTGACAGTGGGGAGAGCATGTTTAGGTTTACGCAATGCTAGTTTTCATCTATACGTTGTCACCCTTAGAATGGAGTTTTAACCAGAGCAGCTTCATCCAGATATTTGCAGGTTCCCCTCCATAGGTTGAGACAAACCTTAGATAAGACTTTACTTCTGCTTTTCAACGGTAGCATTCTTTTCACCATTGTCACACAAAGACCAGATTTGTTGAGCAACTTCTAATATTCCTGTGAACAGATTATTTTACCTGAGCTGTAGATTTCTGCAGCTCCTGCAGAGCTGCCTTTGGCCTCTCTGGTGTTTGTCCTTTTGTTCTACTGATCTGGTCATGTATTTTTGAGGTTTCCAAAGCTGGGGATAATGACCTAACCCTGCTTCATACTTCACACTTCTCCTCAACCCCAATTCTGACCTGTCTGCTATGTTCCTTGGTCTTACTGAGGCTTTTTCTTTACTAATGTTTTTTAAACCTATATTGCCTTGACAGGACAGCTGGATTAAGTTGGATTCTAATTACTGCTTTTAAAGGTAGTTAGAGTAACAAGGGAATCTATGCTTTACTACTCAATAGTTTGAAAATCTTTCACGTTTTCCGTTCAACTTCTTTATTTATCGACGTTATTTATCAACCTTTTTTGTTTCTGACAAAAATATATTGAGGATTGAAAATGTAAATCAGCACAATATAAAAATGTTATAAACATATTTTTCTTATTGTAGACCACTACTTTTCTACAGGTCTGCAGACACCACAAGGTGTCGCTGTTCACCAATCTGCCGCACTCTGCAGGGTTCTAAGGAAGAATAAGCTCTTGCTTCATTCAAAAAAATAAAAATAAAATCTTTATCATTTCTCTACCGTAGTTTTCTCCTCACTGGTCCAGCACAGGATATCCTCATTGCCAGCTCAAACTTATAAATCTATAACTTATGTAAGGCAACGATACACTCCCCTTAGACACAGGAAGCTTGTCCTTTTCCTTTCCAGAAAATTAACGACACCACCTCCCATACCGGTTAATTAAAAGATCCTTTTTGTAGACATAAACTTTCTATGAAAAATTGCAGCAGTACCGTTGTTCCACTATGCATGTGTCAGAGCCTCTTTTTTCTGAGTGTCAGAAAGCCGGCAAGCGGAACCAGGAGGATTTACTGCCCGCCCCCCACCCCTCCATTTACCTCCAACAGAAAACACCTGGTCATATATTTCCTCAGCCTTTTACCTTTAGGGAGGATCCAGTTCCAGGTTGAGAAAACGTGACCATACTTTAAATGCAGACGGGTCTCAAAAGAACAAGTTGATAGAATTTGGAAGTTTTAATAGCAATGTAAAGTTGCTTCAGTAGACAGAAAATTAATGACACTACAGAGAAACCCCTCTTCTGATGCCCAGTGTTAGTTTCAGTAACTCCGTCCTACCTTTACAGGAGAGAACTTCAAACTTATTTTGTATTTACATTAAAAAAAGGCTGATTTTGAAATGCATTTACACTTTGCATGAATAAAATCTCCCTTCGAAAAATCTCGGGACAGTGTACCAGATTTTTATTAAGTGTTAACTGCCAGAGTGGAAACATCTGTCTTCAACAGGAAGTAATCTGTCAGAGTTTATCTTTACTGCAACTCCATGCTTTATCCTCAGCAATATATGTTTTTAAGAGGGAAAGCATCTGTTATTGATGAAGAGGTGAGGCCGAAAAAAAAAAAAGTAAAGGTATTTAAAGCTCAAGGTTTAGTGAGCCACCAAGCAGGCAGTCATTGCAGCGCTGCTTTTGCTTCTTCAGAGGACAGATTCTGCTATAAAGTAGAAACTAAAAGGCCTTTGGGAAAGTTAAATTTGGGCCAGTACCACCAGATCCTCCTCAGCATGTCAAGTTGGGGCCTCCTATTCTTCCTTGTGACGTCATCGGAGGGGAAAGCTAGTCAGTGGGCTGATGTTGGCAGCTGGCAATAGTGCAAGCAGGAAACGACTATCACTTCCTTATTGCTCCAAACAGGATGTGGGGGTGTAAACTGTTGACATGGGATGCCCAGAGTCCTAGAGGGCTTGGCAGGAGCCCAAGAAGTTGTAGTGGTGGAGAAGAAAAAGGGGGTGGGGGGGACACAGAGAGCAAACAGAGCATGCTCTTCAAGCCCAGAAACTGTTTCCATGCGCTTTTTCCTGTGAAGGAAAAACAGGTTTTATTTATTATGACCTCAGCTTCTGGTCAAATCCGCGGTAGCTACCTGCTAACCATCTGGGCCTCATTTACCCATCCTGTATTGCTCTCTAGCAGTTACTGAGCTGCAATAATGTCCAAATCAAATGAAGTAGCCCAGCTTTAGAAACTCAGTCCTGTGTTTTAGATCAGTAATTTATGAATTATTGTTTAGTTCTTTGTTTTTTTCATCTTTTATCTGCAGATACAACTTTTAGTTGAGTCCAATTCCCCTTTAAAAACTAAAATAAAGACTATAATGTTTTATATTGGGGATCAATATCAATGTCAAAGTTATTGTGTGATAGTAGTTGCTGAAAAGAAAGGCATAGACTATTATTCTGAAACATGCTAAATACGCAGTGTTGGGACATTTAAACTATTTTCTAAAATTTTGTGCTTGTGGGTAGCATTGGTAGCTACAAACAGCAGTGATTGCTAAAGGTTGCCAACATAACCGAATCCAAGACGTCCCTTAAAGAACAGAGGTTGAAAGATCTAAACGTTTAAGCAGATCACCTGCTGATTAGAGGTGTAAATAATAATCGTTTTGTATCGATGCATCGATCCAACAGCCGACGATCCGAAGCATCGACACGTCCGCAAGAGTATCGATTTATGTATTTTTTTTCCCTCTGATCTATTTTTATCCATTTGCCCCTGGACGTAATTCTCCCTCCCATGCTGCGGTGGCGCTAAACCTATTTTGCCCTCCTACCTCGCTTCCTGGTTGTACTCTTACAGCAGTTTGTTGCAGTGAGCTCGACACAGACATTTTTGATTTATGCTCAATATTGAAGCGTGGTCTGCGCTACACACTGTGGGTCTCAATATGGCCGAGGCGCTGAGGAAGTGGGGGCGAGTTAAGTCCGATGACGGAGGGACATAAGTGCCAAAAAGAGCGGAGATCCAGGTGGAAAAAGGGTCCCAGCATTCTCGCGCACCTCGCTCTTCTAGCGCTCAAACTTCATGAGTTGTTTTCCGCAATTTCGGTCATAAAAACAAAACAAGCAGGCCTTCTGTCTGCAGCACTGTTTGCGGTCAGCTACAATTTGGGAGAGGTGCAGCTGAGCATCTGTGGAGGGGGCGGGGACGTCTGGACCCGAGGTATTGCATTGCACTCATTGCACTGATTTTGTACAGTATTTTTTATGCAAAGCCTTTCAGAATCTATAACGCAGGGATATTATGACTTTTCAGTGACTGAGGTTTTAACAGGAATAGGTGGAGTGCAACTTTTCTACTTCTGTTATTTGCGGTAGTTTCTCAAATAAAATGCATAATGATATTACAGCTTTTATTGATTTATTTCAAATTTGAAACATAGTCTAGCCTGTAAGGTAAAAAAAAAAAGAACCAGTTAATCAAATCGAAACGCATCGTGGTGTATTCTTGAGTAAGTCAAAGTCAAAAAGCCTTTATTGTCATCATATTCTGCAACGGATACAATGAGATTTGGGAGTATCGAAAATAATCGAAATCGTTGGGTCAGGAAATCGATACTGAATCGAATCGCCATGATGGGTGTGATTTACACCCCTAGTTCCATGGGTGGTTCCCCAGTGGTTCCATGGGGGGGTCCCCAGCGGTTCCATGAGGGGTTCCCCGATGAATCCATGGGGGGTTCCCCAGTGGTTCCATGGGGGATTCCCCAGTGGTTCCATGGGGGGTTCTCCGATCATTCCTTTGGTGGTTCCACAGTGGTTCTATGTGTGGTTCCCCAATGATTCTATGGGGGGTCCCCAGTGGTTCCATTGGGGGTTCCCCAGTGGTTCCACAAGGGGTTCCCCAGTGGTTCCATTGGGGTTCCCTGATGATTCCATGGGGGGTTCCCCAGTGGTTCCATGGGGGTTCCCCGATGATTCTATGAGGGGTTCCCCGATGATTCCATGGGGGGTTCCCCAGTGGTTCCATGGGGGGTTCTCCGATCATTCCTTTGGTGGTTCCACAGTGGTTCTATGTGTGGTTCCCCAATGATTCTATGGGGGGTCCCCAGTGGTTCCATTGGGGGTTCCCAAGTGGTTCCACAAGGGGTTCCCCAGTGGTTCCATGGGGGTTCCCTGATGATTCCATGGGGGGTTCCCCAGTGGTTCCATGGGGGTTCCCCGATGATTCTATGAGGGGTTCCCCGATGATTCCATGGGGGGTTCCCCAGTGGTTCCATGGGGGGTCTCCCGATCATTCCTTTGGTGGTTCCACAGTGGTTCTATGTGTGGTTCCCCAACGATTCTATGGGGGTTTCCCAGTGGTTACCGGTGGTTCCATTGGTGGTTCCCTGATGATTCCATGGCGGGGTCCCCAGTTGTTCCCTGATGATTCCATGGGAGGTTTCCCGATGGTAGAAGCCAAGAAACATCCCTTCATAGAAAAAAACAAAAACTGCTTTCTTTATGGCTGCTCATACCTTTCATGTTTCCCTTGATTGCATTTTTAATAAATTAATAATAGAGAATATAGATAACTTTGAGTCTTGTTCACTTGATAGCAAGTTCTAGAGAGAAGTGGGATTAAAAAATTTAGGGATAAATTTTGATGTTTTTTTTTTATTTGTGCCTCTTTTTGGCTACCAGTCAAAACCAGTCAATTGAATACCTTCCAATTCTTAGGAAATTGTCATTTTATTGCTTAGCCAAGTAATAAATGTAAATGCATCCTTTAGCAAACTGATTGTTAAAGAAAGATCCTGTTTTTAGCCTATTTTTTTTTTTTTAGATTCTACAGGTCTTAGAACTAGATTTAATACTGGGTTTATGATTATAGATTACTCATGACTAAATAAGGAAGGCATTCATATTTTTACATTTGGTTACAAATGTTTGAATAGCTTTTTTCCCAAAACGACTGAAATCCTGTTTTTAAGAATCTGCTTTGGGTTTTTGCAAGTTTTTTTGTTGTTAAATAAAAATGAAAAAACAAAAGACTAAACACAAGCTTTTACTCAAGAAGAAGTTCATGTGACCTGCTGACATTTTGTAAGGTGCTTTTAATAACTGGAGAAAGATCAGATTTTTTAATTTTAGAAAATCAGCTCAGTGGGCGGATGACAGTTCTTCCATGTGGGGAAGCAAAACAAATAATATTGTTGAATATTGTTATGATCCAGTTATTCTAATCCGCCTCTTTGGTCTCCTCCTTCTGGCGCAGGGATGGGAGCTGATCCTAGCCGGCCGCCCTGCAGAAAGGCCAAAGATTTAAGAAAGGAGCGGCGTCTTCAGAAAGACCAGATCAGACAACAAGGCGATGGAGTCTCATCTACTAATGCAGCCAATGCCAACCAACCCAAAACACTGGAGGATTTCATGAGCGAGTCTTTAGGGGAGAGCTCCTCTCACCGCCTCGAGGTGAGCAGAAGCTTTGAAGCTCGCACTTCTTTTAAGCATAATTTGTGGCTTGGAATGATGGTCCAACTTCTTTTCTCTCCTTTTTTTTAAATATTTTTAAGAAATAACATTTTTAGTAAAAGCCTCTTCCTCAACCACAGTGACTTCACAATGTGTTTATATCTGTGGAGGGAATAGCTGAGTGGAAAAAGCAGATGTTTCTAGTTTCAATTCAACAAAATGACAGACGAACCACACAGACTTATGAATTTTTAGATGATATTAAAACCACTAAATTGAACTAAGCCAACAAGAAAAGACATTGAAGTAAGCTTTCAGGAGGAAGCATTTTGATGTAGACTGATTCCTGGCGAAGGCCTCAGACCAAAGTTAGTAGCATAATGCCAGATTTGGTCTGAGGCAGATTTAGAGCCAGATGTTGTAGCCATGCAGACTGGATCTATTTCCCATCTCAAGTCTTTTACAAGCATATCCCAATCAATACTTCTAAAATTCATTGTTTTAGCCCGCATTAGTAATTGAATTTCCCTAAATAGATACTGGGCATCTCAAAGGAAGGCCAATTTATGACTTTTGGGAGGGAAGTTATTTTATATTTGTTCCCTTAAAAACAAATACTCCAATACATATAATCTATTTAACCTTAGATTTCGGAATCTTTGACTCGGTTAACACATTTTTCATTTAAATTTTATCTTTTTTACCGATTATTATTATCGGTATGGATTTATTGGCATGTCTTGCAAAAAGTAAAGAAGTTATTAACAATAGATATATAGGTCATCTTAACCTGTTACCTCAGCCTGCTCCTATGTACAGTTACAGCAATAACACCTAAATAAATTGGACTCAATAAAAAGGACCTAAGTATAAGGAACTAAGTTTATTGTGCCATCATGCAGTAAGGATGATAACAGAAATAATTAAACCTCCAATCAGCTCTTTGCTAGAGAAATGAAGCAAAGCTTTCTGGGTAGTGTTACTGTAAAATAATGCAAATTGATTTAAGGTGTAATGAATCTGGAGGCCATCGTGTCAAACTTATGAAATGTTTTTAGAATAGATAGGAATTTGATTAACCAGGTCCTTTCTTTGAAAAAAAGAAAAAAAAAACTTTATAGTTTTTTGTTTTTTTTACATAAAAATCTATAAGAACATTAACAGGAAATAAAGTTTAGTTTTAGGCTTAAACGCAGGTGTAGTTCTATCTTCCACCACCAGGGTTCACTCTGACAACATCAAAGATCTTAGGCTCTGCATGGAAACTGGAACATTCCACAGCCTTATCCTGAGAGTCCTCCACTGTTTTTGTAGTTTTGTCATATGCTTTTTGATTTGATCATTTGTCGTAACTTAGCAATGTCTCGGCTTTTTCCCTAGTATTTTAAATCATATGTATAAACAAAAAAGTCTTGAGGATACACTTTAACAGTAGCATATATACTACCGTCAAATTTAAAAAAAATGAAAAACCCTTTCTGTTGGGAAAACATGTTTTGACAGATGATAAATATTAAGGATTATGTGAGGACAGGGCTTAATTATTTATATGGCGTCTGTATCCAGGAGGATCAGTGTTTTGCTTTGGCTGTAGGACAAAGATGGCAAGTTTTTTATATGAGAGTCTGTGTCTGTTATCCAAGTCAAACAAACCTTGAGTTCAGCTTAGCATCCTGTTCTTCTCAGATATTCATGTGGCAGCATCTCTGTGGCCAACAAAAGCTTCCAAACGAAGCAGGTCTTAATTAAAGGGGAACCGTAGGATGAGAGACTTTTCTCTCCCTAACCTTATTCTGATCGTTTCTTTTTGTTTAGTCTAATTCCTAGAACTGCATTGATGATTACGGTTAAAAATTAGTCTGTGTGTGTTTGAACATAATGGAATAGACTGTTTAAAAAAGCAGAGGCCATTAGTTGGCAACATCTTTATAGTGATCCGGCATTAGGATCTTACTCTACTGAGTCTGTAGAACAGGATATTATAAGAGGGGAGTGTTGGCCTAGTGGATTGGGCGTAGAGCTTGGAATCCTGAGGTTCTGAATTTGACCCCACTCCCACACACTGCCGCTCTGGGTCCCTGAGCAAGACCCTTAACCCTCCACACTGCTCCCCAGGTGCTCCACGATGGCATCCCACTGCTCCCCAACAGGATTAAATAGGGGTTAAATACTGAGAGTTCATTTCATTGCTCTGTACTTGTGACAGTGTAATGACAATAAAAGCTGTTCTGTCCATCTATACTGTCTATTTTATATTTTTATATATATAACTAGTATATGATGTAATCAAATGATTTAATACTAACTTACCAGATTAATTATTCATTAAGTAGTCATTTTAGGAAATTTAGTTTTAAAACTGCCTGATTGGCTTTACTTTTGAGACTGCCATCCTTGTTTATCGTTTAGTGTGATATGACCAAAAAACAATATATTATTATGTTACGGGCTTAAGTTGGTTGATGTTTGGTGTCATGGTCTTAATAGCTTCAATCTGAAGATTAATTTTAACATAATCTTGAAAGGCATCCCTTTAAAAATTGTTTTGTAGTTCCTTTGAGTTTTTTTTTTTTATATATATGTATTAATGTAGTTCAGTGCATCACCAACAAAACAAGTGCTTATTGTTAAGGCCTTTTTCATTCTGGTTTCATTTTTAAGAAGTGGATTAAGCATCACTTTTACTTGTTTGTTAACTTTGTTGGTCAGTAATTAGTTGCACCCACTCACTGGTTTCCTACAGACAACTTTTGGTTTCAACTAGAACCTAAAAACTCGATGAACATGGTGAAGTCACTGAGTTGAGCTTATGCTTTTTCTCTGATTTTGGTCTGCTGTCGTGTACAGTCATGTTAAAAGAATGTCCTCGCTTATCATTAACAGGGTTTTTAATATAGAAATGACTAGGCTGTAGATTCATTGGGTATTTTCTGGCCTGACCGTACCCAAATAGCTAACTTAACTAAAAAAAAAAAAAAAGGAAAAAATACTGATATCTGTTTATGGTGTTCTGAAATTGATTCTAGGTCCAGAATTTTCTTCCTTCAGTTGGTTCCTATTTTTCTTTACAGCATGTTTATTTACATTGTAGCAGGTCGTGCCAACTGGGTCAGTCTACTGAACGACTGTACGTAGCGACTATGTTGGCTGCTGCAGCCCCCAGTCTGCCTGTTTCATATTACCCGATCTTTTCGTTGTTCTCAGCCAGCTGTCAGTTTAAAAACAAAACAAAAACCAGTTTAATAAACTTGTTTTTCAGTCTTTCAGTTGCTATTTAAACAGTGCAATACCTTATATTTTAAGTATGTTCTATCTGCACACAGTTTATAGGAAAAATCCAAAGCGACTTAAAAATTAGGAAATGCATAGAAATATATGACAAGCTTAATAACCAGGGAGTTTTATTAAAAGAGTGTGTTGATATGAGGAAACTGCTCTGCAAGGAATGTTTTTTTAGCTGGAGCAAGATGTGAGTTACTGTGTCAAATAAATGTGGGCCACACAGACTCAGAGTTACACCATGATATTTTGTGCATTTATCGTTGCTGTAACAATGAAAGTTAAAATGAGTTATTCAAAGCAATAGATTTCATATTTGAGTTTAGAAAAAAAACACTGATTGGAATTTATCTTAATCACATTTTTTTTTTTTTATATACGATACAATGCCCATCCAAAAAGATTTAAATCAGATTCATGTTCAAAGAGACAATGATTTCATATAGAAAACTAATGGAATTGAATTTATGTTGTGAAAACCTAAGATATAATATGTAAAACTCAAGATTTTAGAGGGAGGGGGTGTTTTCTTTTAACAATGACTGTATAAGACAAAGTCTGCTTCGTAGTAAAATACTAGCTCTACCTTCTGCAACTGTTGCTTCACACCTTACCTCCTCTTTTATTCATGTTTTTATTTCTTTAAATCCTTTCAATAACCCTTTATGTTATTTTCAGCATGTTTCTTCTGTTTGGATATTAACCTGTGTTTGACAATATTCTTTCTGAAGGTGAGGCTAGTGCGCTCCAATCCCCCTAGCCCGCAGTTCAAAGCCTCTTTCGACGCCTCCTACCAGGTGTACAAACTCTACCAGATCGTCATTCACAAGGATCCTCCTGAAAAACCCTCCGAGAGCCAGGTCAGAGAGTGGCGGCCATAGGTCAACCCTCATCTACCTTAGGGGGGAAGACAGAGGGGTGGTAGATCTATACTGTTTTATCTTATTTTCCTTTGATCCTTTAACATATAAACAAATCTGATGTCAAATTATCAAAATAAAAAACTGCAAAAAATGCAATTCAACTACATTAGAACATTTTAAATTTTATAAGATACATTAGGTTATAAGATGCAATGTGAGGACAAAACGACCGCAACAGTTTCTATAAGAAAATATTTTCTTTAATGTAGTTGTCGTCATTAATAGAAAAAAAGCTTATCTGAACCAACCATGTTCTATGTAAAAATATAACAAATTACCTCACAGAATCATGAATGAACAGAGATTCCCACAAAAGCTGAGCTCAGATTCATTTGTCACAGACAGGCCTGATTACAGCCTGCCCTGAGAAATCAAGAAATCCCTTAAATAGAAGCTGTCTGACCACATAGCGTAGGCTTTAAAGTCTTACGTAAACACCATCCCCTAAATGAGGCAAATCCAAGAACAGATAAGAAACACATTCGTTATTCTGGGAAGGGTTATACATCAGTTTTTAAGAATCTAAACCATAGAAACACGGTGTGATTAGGAAAAAGTAGTGAGTTTCCAAGTTAGTCGAAGCTCACATCAGCATCTTATCCAAGAGTTTAGAAAATAAGTTGGAACAACAAATAAACTCTGCAGGCCTGATTTATCTCAGTTCTAGCTAGAGTTAATGATTCAACAATATGAGCGGGAGAAAGGGCAAAAGGTCATCCAGCTGACCAAAAATAACACAAAGGCACATCTGGTATGTAAGAAATGTATTTGGATCGATTGGTAAGTTCCTGCTACTTGTGACGCAAGGCTAATAAACATCATATGGACATTCAAACATTCATGATTTCAGGTAATTGACTGAACCACAAACCCGTCGCTGTGGCTGAATTCAAATGAATCTGCTAAGAAGAATCAACTAAGGCCCCGTCCACACGAAGTCAAAACGAACACGAAACGCTGATATTTTCCAAAACGTTTGTCGTAAAGACGGAGACGTAAAATAAATGTGATCGTCCACACGAATGCATGAAAACGCTGCAAAATGTATGCCAGGCCTGTAAGTGGCGCTGTGGTGCCAAAGCAAAAATAAGCGACGAAATGCTGGGCATGCGCACTAATATTTATACATGGTTGCCCTGCGGGTCCATTTTCGTGGTTAAGTCAAATTCAGGTGCTGAACTATGTCGTCGATATTGCTCTGTTCTTCCTGGAGATATTCCAGAAGAAGAAGATTCTGTTGTAAGCCCGACAGCAGGGTGAGTAGCATTAGCAGCAACCATTCAACACAGTACGGCGCCATTGTTGTTTTGATACTGTGTCGCGCATGCGTGTTTAGAGGCGACGCTATGACGCATGCGTGTAAAAAAAAAAAAAAAAAAAAAAAAATGCGGATAGAGCTTAAAGATGGAAACGCGAAAACGGCGTTTCAAAATCTTCCCACTCTGAAGGCTGAATAAAAAAAAGATCGTTTACAGACCCCGAAACGCCGGCTTCGTGTGGATGAGTGGCTGGTTTGGTGAAAAATTTGTGCGTTTAAGCCAGGGTTCGGCTTCGTGTGGACGGGGCCTAAAGGTGCTCCACAGCCAGAGGGGAATTTACCATTAGGCAATAGTAGGCAGCTGCCTAGGGCCCCAAGTTCCTGGAGGCCCCATAAACCTCTGTTTACATGTATGGTTAATGCAACTATTCCTTATTTGTGCACATTAATTATGTTTTTGATAAAAATCCTTTCTCTAAAATGTCATCAGAACACTGATAATATTAAGTGTGTCTAAGCCCCCCCCTTCAGTGTCCACCATATTGGATCAGTCCATTTGCTGCACATGTTCAGAAAGGTCCAAACAGACAGCAGCAAACCATTTGAAAACAAACCATCCAAAGAGCAGTGTTGCCAACTTAGCGCTTTAGTCGCTATATTTAGCCACTTTTCAGTAGGGATGGGAATCGAAAACCGGTTCCTGTTCAGAACCGGTTCCATATTTTCCGATTCCATGGCATCGTTTGGCAGCTCGCTGAACGATTCTTTTTTCGATTCCCGCAGCACCAGAGCCTAAAGCGCCGGCTCTGGGCAGCACGACTTACGTCACGTTTTTTACGCAAGTTACGCATTTTCGATTCCCGCAGCACCAGAGCCTAGAGCGCCAGCTCTGGGGAGCACGACTTACGTCACTTTTTTTACGCAAGTTACGCAAGTTGGAAGAACTATTCGAGGAGGAAGACAACGAGCTGCGGTCACTTTGTGAATCAAAGCCCCGTCTTTCCTTAGCCCAGAGGGTAGATCAGGAAATCCAGCTCTATAAAAGCTTGCCCTCCATCCCCTGCAGGGATAGCGCCACACTGTGGTGGTGGAACAAGCAAGATACGCTGCCCTTGCTATCTGGACTGGCTGAAAACTACCTCTGTGTGCAGGCTTCCTCCACCCCATCTGAGAGGGTGTTCTCCACGGCTGGAAACACCTTAAGCGCTGAAAGATCCCGTATCCTTCCAGAAAAAGCAGATATGCTCATCTTTCTGCAAAAGAACTGTTAATTTTCCCTACTACTGTTTTATAATTAGTATTTTTTGTTATTTAAAATTTGTTATTATCCCATCATTTGTTATTAGACATTGTTGGTTATTAAGTTTGTTCTTGTATATTTATTTTTCATTTAAACACAGATGTTACTCCAGTTTCACATTTCCTGTGGACATCTTGATCTTGTTGATTTTGTAAGATTGTGCAATAGTTAAGTAAACAAAGTTGATGCTGATAATCAAACTGTTTGTTCTCCTTTTTTCCCCAAATTGGAATCGAAAAAAGAATTGATAAAGAATCGAATCATTTCATAGAATCGAAAAGGGAATCGGAATCGTGAAAATCTTTTCAATTCCCAACCCTACTTTTCAGACCCCTCTAGCACTTTGATTTCTAAAAAGCTCCTAGCGCCAAATCTAGAGACTTTTTTCTGCTACTGGAGACTTTGGAGACAACATCTAAAAGCAGCGAACTCTGCTCTCCAGAGCAAGTAGATTGGTAACCCCGCCTCCTGCTCTGCTCTATCTTGTCTGCTGTCATGATTCATGCAGCTATTATTTCATCCAAGTGAAAATGGAGAACAGATAAGCAGATCATGGCTTGTCTACAGTGAAAAGAAGGACTGGGTTATTTACTTTGGCCTTTTTGGAAACACAGGAAGGAGCAATCAGCTAAGTGAGCTTAGTGCTTGGAAAAAATCTTTCATTCCTTAAGAGACAGCATGAAAAGTCAGCTGAGTACAAAACATAGAGAGGAAAACAAGAAGAAAAGGGACAAGAAGAGAGGGACAAAACCTAGAACAGATAATGGATGTCTATTCTATTAACATTTCTCTATCTGTAGAATGGGGCTGTTTTATGTGTTGTCTTCTCCATTCAGAGGGCCCCCTGCCTGTCTTTGCCTAGGGCCCCAAACGTCCTAAATCCGCCCCTGTCCACAGCATTATATAAACGGATTGATTGCCAACTGTTCCAAACATCATAGTAGTTGTTGCCACCAAGGGTTTCACTAGCACCGACTTGTAAGGGGAATCCCTTGTTCACATAGGGCAAGGTTGGTTTGGATAACTTTTTATCTCTTGATAAATGTTATCATAAATTAAAAACTTCTTACTTAAACAAATAACCTTTTTTTTTCTAAATTTGTATGATGATGCTAAATATTTAGGTGTGACAGAGAAAAAAAAAGTCATTGTTGAGAGATGTGGATGTCTAAAGCCCTTTCAGTGCATAGATGCAGTTTCAGTTTAAAATCGTCAAGCTTTGCTAAATAATCTTTCTTATCCAACTGGAGTGTCGACTGAGCTTTAAGAAAGGAGAAAGGTGAGCAGAATTTAAAATCCCTGGCAAGTGTAGTCACCATGATTCATTTTTTAAGGATTTTTTTGTTTGTTTTTGGTCTCTGGAATCGTATAAGATGATGTTTAGGTCCGTCAGAAGTGATGCGTCAAGAATATCTGCTGTCCTGGACCCCGACACCAATTACATCATGTTTCCGGTCATCTCTGAGCGATTTGAGTCAAATACCGGGTAGTGCACTAGCCTCACCCTCAAGTTTCTCATCAGTCTCTTAGAATCTAATTTCAAGCTTCCATAGATGTGCTTTGTGCCAAACTTGGTCATTCAAAGAAGTGGAACTGCTTGAAAGCCTGCTTGAAGGACTAAGAGACTGTTCTCCTTCTGTCTGAAGACATTAAAGCCCTTGTTTGCTAACTGTACATGCGTTCATTCTTTATTGGTTTGTTTTCTACTGTTCACCACCTTGGAATTCAATGTAAATCTTCATAAACCCCAAACCCCTCCTCCTTGTCCTCTCCACACCTTGTGCTTGAAGGTGAGGCTAGTGCCGGTGAACTTTGAGGACCCCCAATTCGCTGCGTCCTATCAACAGTCAGTGGCACTGTACGCCCGCTACCAGATGGCCATCCACGGTGATGACCCAAGCGAATGTAGTGAGACTGAGGTACTGCATGATTATTATCTCGCACAGTTAATAGGAAGTCACTGAATCTTTGCAGCAGTATCCTACCGTTTTTAATTTACCTTGTAGATTGTTATTAAAATCAGACATTTTAATTAGACCCAACTACGATCATTATTGTATAAGGCATCATAAATGTTGTCTGTGCCGACAGGAAGGTAATAAGAAGGTGATGGACTTCCCTGTAAGCACTCTGCTGAAATTATCATCACTGTTCATTGTAAAAATTAGCCTAGTTTGTCTTTTCATGCAAAGCTGGAAAATCCTTGCCTGTTTATTTGCATCTTTGGTAGAAATGTTTAAAAAACACAAACGAAATGGATTAATCTCTTAATACAGTATCATCAAAGACTAGGAAAACTGGGAGGTAAAAAACAAAAAACATATGGTTTAGTTTAGAGAAGAGCATGGAAGAAGATGCAACAGGTTTTGGATCATTGTCTGGATGAGAGACCCAAGGACGACCTGATATGAGGGAGAAACTCTGTCTTATAAAAGCATCATACTTTTCTAGAAATTCATATTTTGTTGTAAATCTGACCTTTGCCACGTTTTATTTAGTTGAAAACATGGCATTCTTCCTCCACTGAATAACATACTCTTTATTTGGACATATTTTTTGTGTTCAGTTTGAGATGTGTTCAGTTTGAGATGATGCTGCCGCAGCAAGAGATCAGTTTATGTTGAGGCTTTTAAAGATCTCTATTAGGGACAATAAATGGGGCTTGTTAACTTAATTAGATTACCACATAATGAAAAAAGGAGAATCATTTTGTAATTTTGTGGTATGTATGTGTTTAAGTCTCATGTTAAAAGTCTAGAAGGTTTATCCAGTGTGGAGAAAACCCATCCAGCCTAAGTGGGGCCTCTGTCCCTCTTGGGTGGAAAACCACCTTCATCCACCCTTCTGCCAACATGCTGCAGTAAATATACTAAATTCTCCTGCTTGTAAAAGTAAGGTAATTAATAATGGAGGCTGTCAGTTTGGGCAGACTGTGTCAGATTCCTTTCTGGTGCCATAACACTACCTCTAATAAAAGGTAGCTTGTTTTAGTAGCCTAAACTCCAAATATATATAACATAAAGGTGTGGAGCTGCATCAGTGACTCTGCTCCCTGGAGGTTTTCCACACAGAAAGTTTTTTTTAACATTTATTTAATTGGTATTCCATGCTGGATATGTTCTGAATAAAGAGGTTTATAAAAGCGTAGGTTGGACTGGGCTTTAATCACTTTTATAAGCACACCTATTCATTTTAAAGATGGATACCAGCCTGAATTGTAACATTAGTTAAAATAGAAAAAAAGCACAAGCTTTGTATGAGACCATTCATTCTGTGTCATAACATGTTCCCACTTTAATTGGTAATACGTGTGTTTTAATCTGTCTTTCCATTGCGGGAAAGTTTTTCCAAGAACCAGGGTCGATCTCTAGATCAGAGGAACAAGTTTAGCAAAGTAGAAAGTTATGTCAAAAAAATAATCTCCATTAGAGGGAGTTTTTTTTGTAGTTTTTCCAGCAAAGGTCCAGGATTTGAAGACCTGAAGTCCGAATCGAGGACTAAGGCCTCTCTACATGGGTCGCACATGAACTAATGAATAACTTTTGTGTTGCTTCTCTGAAAGATAGTTTTAATTCTTGGATTCATTTATTAAAAGGTGTGAAAACTTGTATGTAGGGAAAATCTATTTAAAGAAAGTGCAAAGGAATTTGGGCTGCAATTTAGCAAACAAAACATGCAAATTTTTTTGCATGTGCGCCTTCATCAATATGTCTATCGATTCTTATGATCAAATGTAAACTCTTACCTCATGCAAAGTTTTAATACGATTTGCATAAGCAATTTTTGTGGTGCAAAACTTTGATTTATTGTGTTTAAAGTTCTTTTGCACAAGCACTTCTTTGGAATCTTTGAAGCTTATACTGTTAGGTGTATTTTACTTGGTCTGTTTTTGACCATTACACATTTAAAAATAAAGACAATGCCTCTAAGATTTGTTTTTTTAGCGACGTGTAATGCCACCTTGTTTTATGACATATTTGTACCAATACAAATCATAGCTCTCAGAGAAATCTTAATACTGTTTGAGTAAAACTGCTGTAAAGTGTAAAATTCAGCTGACATTAAGCTTAATTCAACTTATTTCATTCTGTTCATTCATTATTTGTTATATTTTGGAAATCCTGGGGTAATAATTTAATCGAAAAAGCTTTATTGGCAAAATGTTTTCAGTGTACAAGGAATTTTTTTCAGTGAGAAGTTGCAACACAAAGACAAGCAAACATGCAGTTGACATAAATAGCATAAAATATAATTTGGAATAAACAGACAAAGGTCTGTATAAATGTTATTAGAGTAGAGAAGACCATTGCAGCTCTGGTTTTTGGTTGTACATCACTAGAACCTGTTGGTTGTGGTGATGTGCAGTTCTGGAGGGAAGGATTATTTCAGCTAATCGCCTTCTATGCAGAGAAGGTCATCGAAATTATGAAGTATTGCAAGGCTGACTTTTATAACAAATCATGCATTAAAAGAAATTGTTTCCAAGTATTTGTATTACCGTAATCAGGTTGCTTGAAAATTCATGTAATTGATTGCATCAGTGAAATGTACTTACGTTTGTTGCAGTTACCTATGCATCTTGGCTGCATATTTTGCAACATGGGGTTAATTTAACAAAACATTTAAATTTGCACAACTAATTTAAGATCCAATACAGTTAAAACTTCACACGTCAGATGACTTGACTCAGCTTTTTTAATGTAACCTGAAGGAATCGACCACAGATACGTACCTGCTGTACTGGTACAATTTTACAGTTATTTATTTATTTTTTTTTAAATCTAATTTTGGATTCTGATTTAGATGATAAACCATATCCTTAGATCAGTGGTCATGTAGAAAAGAAAAGTGTTGGCAAACAACAGCACGTCTTCCTGTTGCAAAACTGTTACAGATTTAGCAAAACCCACTCAGAGAAAACAACTTCCAGTTTGCATGCAGACCTGTTTTCCATTTCGGACCACTAGTAAAATTGAATCACTTCAGCCCTTATTGATGCCACTTGGTCGAAGCGGTTTCATATGTTTGTTTTTTTAAGAAACATTTTTGGACCAAGTTTGACAACAAATTATAATGCATACGCAGTCTAGAAAAAAAAGATGCAAAATGGTGAAAATTTCATGTTTTTTCCCCCCTCAGATCAAGTAAATAAGGAAAAACAAAAAATATCAACTGTTGAATTGTTTTTATCTGAATACCTAAAAAATGTTTTTAAAGGGAAACTGAAATTTAGTTAAGTCTTAAAAAAAAAAAAAAAAAAAGAAAATAGAAATTTGACATAACTCTCCACATAAGAAGTCCTTTTAAAGGTATTTTCTGTTGCTAGTCGATTTTTGTTAGATGTTCTTGGTAACAATTAGTCTGGTTTTAAACCAAGAGTTGCTGCAGCATGCCAAATGAAATTAATCCTATCAAAACTGGGGAAGTTTTTAGACACGACATCCTAACAGAAGGAAGCATTATGTTTGTGTAAGTATGTATACATTTCCTGGCAAAGCATAACTGGAAAATGACCATAAATATTTCCCTCTTAATCTAATATTAGGTTCCTGACAGAGTTTAAGGGAACACCAGTAATTATTTGCATAGACACGCATGCATACACAAGTCCAAAGAGTCAGTTGCTTATTGGTCTTTGCTGTTTCACTGAGGCATCACTCAGTACCTGCACATGTGGCAATAATTTTCAGAAAAAATAAATCATCTTACATCTGCGTTCGATGTAAACAAAAACCCCTGAAATAATGTCTGGGAAGGATTTGAAAAGAGCTGTTATTTACAGCTTATTCATGCACAATAAAGACATTCATCTGAACTGAGCCACCAGTCTTTTGCTGTAATAGAGATTTTTTTTACCCACTCATGGCATTCCAAGTTTCTGCAACTTTGTTGAGCTTTGCGTAGCTAGTAAAGGTTTTTTGTCACTCAATAAGAGCAGCAGTTTGATTGTGCGAGATAACACTGAGAGGCTGAAATAGCAATTAGGCTTAAACAGATGTGTTTGTATAAATGCACCGTATTTGTAAAAGAACACAAATGTGTGCTTGCAATGGCTGCTTGGAAGCCTTAATTGTACACAGATGGGTGTTTACTGTAAGAAAGGGAGAGTTGGAGAGGAAGAGATGGGATCCATGTGTGGATGGACACCAGGATGTTCCAGCAACTTTTTTTTTGATGGACTTTGATGTTTTTATGAAAATGGAAGTAAAAGTTGTTGTGGGTTGGTTGTCGTTCAGAGGCTGAGACCTGTGCATTTCCATATTTGGGTTAACCAAATATCTTGCACATCCATGTGGTAAAAAAGGAGATGAACTGAGGCTGAATTCCATGTATACATGAAAGGTTCCTTATATTTAACAGCTAGGACTGGTTTACTAAACTTTACATGACAATTAAACCGTAACTTTAACTTATGAACTTCAGTCTCACTTGCATACATACCGCAGACAGTAATTCTTGCAAAGCCCCAATAAATGATGTAATCTAATAACTGCAGCTGTTGTCCCCTTGGTAAATCAGATTATATTTTATTCTCTTGGTAAATAAACCTTTATTTTATTAAGTTTTATTTGTTCCTTTTAGCTATACTGCAAACAGAAAGCCTTACAATTGGTATTATGACCAGCAGAAGCAGGAGTGGAAGATTACACTTCACCTGCAGCCTGAGTCGCTCTTCTGCACATGAGCAGAGATCATAGCTGATCTATAGAATAAGACTCTAGGATTTCCACATTCCAGACGTTCAGAAAATGTTTAAATATGCCTAATTTCTTTGTGTTCAGACAAATGTATTTTGAGGAAAGCGTTTGACAAGGGCATAAGTGCTTCAAAAGTAATAGATGGTTTTATTAATGTCACTGCTGCTCAGTCTGCTCTCTTTTGGATAACTTATCACCTTTAGCAGCTAATAAACTTGGTCATTATGTTACCTTTCAGTGTGAAACAGCTTTGGACAACATGAAACCACATCACTCAATGAATTATAGCTTTTTGAAAATTTTTATCTCCACCTTTTGTGTACCATATCTTGCTGTTTATCTCTGAGCTAGAAATCTTACGTAATTATAAAAAAAGATCTTTATAAAAGTCCAACATTTCAATACTTAACATTTTTAAACGACAAAGATTGAAGGATGCAGAGTTTGTTGTCTTGCCTTATGCTCCACACAACTGTAAACACGGCACTCTTAACTCCTCAACTAAATGGAACCACTGGAAATAGTATAGATAATAGACCAAAGATGTATATTTCCACAAACACAGAGCTCCACTTTAATTGATATCTGCTGTGCAGTTTAACGTGTGTTGAGAGACAGACTTCTGACGCTGGCATTGCTGCTTATTTTAGCTGTCATTGTGTCCTTCTCTAGATAACAAGCCTCGGCTGACGGGGTAAATGTTTTCATTTGTGTAAATAAAGGCTTCTTTTATGCCTGCAGTAAATGGAAGGCAATGTGATGCAAAAGCCAGGAGAAAATGGTAATGGATAAACAATATAGGACCACAAAGGAGATGTGTATGGTTTTCATTTGTGCCTATTGAGAAGAGTTGATGACCCAAAGAGCTAACTGTTTTTTTCCCCCCTCTTTCCTTCCCTCCTTTTGATTCCTTCCTCAGTTCCGGAGATTTCTTTGTGATTCACCACTAGAGGTATGTATTTCCTTTTACCTGCTGGCATTTTAACAGAAATGTCTGTATTCTTCAATATGTGTTACAGCTAGCTAAACCTACTTTGATGGTTTAGCTTTAAGATGTAAGACTTTTTATTCTCACGGAAATATGGATTAGAAAACAGGAAAATTCCAATGAAAACAACTGTACACTTTTCCTGGCCTGCCACATATGTTCCCTTTGCTCGCTCTCCTGATGAGCCCACAGCAGGATCGACTGGGGTTAACGTATTCAAGGAGGGGATTCTGTTTCATATGTGGGGGTTTAATTTAGTCTCACCTAAAGGGGGAAGAAACACAGAGAAATGTGGTCTGCAGACTGCATTATTTTAGCTGAAGGACCTCAGGAACCTTTTGACCTGTACAGCAGAGAACATATGCGCTCCAATGCATCGATTTTTTTTGTGTGCATCAGTTTAGGGACTAACATTCCAGCGCAAATATATGCATTCATGATGGGCAAGAATGCAATGTTGATTTAAAGTTGTAAAAAAAGAGGCATTTGAATTGTTGTTCTTACAGAGAAGAATTATTACACAAACTTTAATCATTTACAAAAACTGAAATGGATGCACAAGTTGAAATTGATGAAGAATTCTTTAGAACCCTAACATAATCAAAATTATACACATCGAAACAAACAAATGCTGATATTATTTTAAATAAGCAATTTGCAGAGAAACCTATGTCGTAGTCAGGAACAAGATCCTAGCATCATTCTTGTTAGATATTTCACCAGATTGGAAGAGTTCATTGAAATTTTTGGGTTTCCAACAGCTTTAAAGTCAGGGTTTTTAAGGTTATTTCTGAATCTTGATCACAGCATGCTCTACCCTTTCCATAGAAAATTTACCATTGGTTTGGGTTAAATGTCCTGTTGGAAGTTTGCATGTCAAGTAGGGATGCACGATATAATCGGCCCCCTATCGGTATCCGCCTGTATCGGCCTTAAAACTGAATATCGGACATCGGCCACCCCACCGATATTTAACCCGATATTTGATCAGCTTCTGAGTTTCTAAAGTCTAAAAAAAAAAAAAAAAATACTACTACTTCTTCTTCCTCAAACTTCTTTTTTACAGACTTAAAAACTTCTCAAGACGAGGGAAAAAATATTGATACATTAAAATATCACAATATCTTCATATGCTGATATATTGCCATTTAAAAACACCATATCAATCTCTTTTACTAATGAAATATTGCTATATGTCATCGTTATGCTACGAAATCCCCCGAAAATTCACGAAATTTTGCCATATTTTTATATGTTGATATATTGACGCGGTATCGGTCTATTTTACTAACAAAATCTCACAAGAATTTGCAAAATATCACGAGAGTTTGTAACAGAACGATGAAATTTCACGAGATTTTGAAAGTAAAATAGATCGATACCGCGTTTTTAAAAATCTATTTGATATCAGCATATGAAAATATATTTGAGTATATTATTTTTCAAAGTGTCAGAAATGAATAACAAAACTGCTATTTTCAATGACTACTTATTTTTGTCCAGCTTTAACATCGGTATCGATATCGGTTATCGGCTACATGAGTTTTAAAATATCGGCATATCGGATATCGGCCAAAATCCCAATGTCGTGCATCCCTAATGTCAAGTTTTAAGCTTATACTTGTGTTAGAAAAACAGGATCTTGAAGAATTTGAAGATGGTTCTTCCCTCTTCGTTATTCTGTCAACTTCATCCAGTGCCCTGTTAACACTGTCAAGAAAATGCTCCCTCAGAATGATTCAACTACCACTATGTTCTATAATTGGAGAGTTTTCTTACTTTTAACAATTTAATCTCAACTCATCTAAACACACTTTTTGTCATTGTGACTGCGTAGATCAATCAATTTGCAACACCGAATCCATTGTCTGCTTAGTGTTATAAATGATTAAAGTTTCATTCACTTTAAATAGTAGCTCTTTAGGTTATTTAGATTTAGGTAAAACAGCTAAAGTTGACTTAAATTGCAGAGTTTTTGGTTTTTCATGTGGAATATAAGACCAAGGATTTAACAGCAGACCAGGTGAGCACAGTCCATCAAAAACACCAGTGGACCTGGTGGGTCAGAACAATTACATCAACAATTAGACCCCAAGATGGGCACTTATTGCAGTCATTTTACTAGGTCTGAGGTCCAGAAGCACATTCGCACACAAACACAGTCACTCCGCTTTGTCCTGAGTGCCCCCTCAGGTCTTCACTAATGAACATCATTAGTGTTTATAGGAAACAAGCTTTTATCACCTCGTCAAAGCTGGCGACCAGGCACTCAGAATTACACAGTTCAGCACCCATACACATACGTGTTCACACTGTGGCACACTGCCTAACACATTTTTCTGCCTTGACTGTCTCTTCTTCTCCAAACGGCCATATCCTTTTCATTTAGCCTCCACTTGCACAACTTGGTTTTATTACTTTCTCTATCCAAGTGTTGAATTATCATGCATAAAAATCTTCACCACTCTGCGTGTTGTTCTCCAGCTGTGTCTAATCTGAGAGCTATTAGAGTACATACAGACGCTCACCACATGGACCTCCAAACGGTGTGGTTCAGCTCACATGTAAGGCTGCATTTATAAAAGCATTTTGCAAACTGCAGTTACAAATGCAGCTATAACTTTCTGACTTCTGGCAGCGTTTAATGTCATCCGAATAGCAGAAGATTCACTCTGAAAATCCAGGTAGTTAACATCACTTGGAGTTTTTTTCTGTTTTTGCAGCACCTTTAGAGAACACACTGGTGCAATGATACCAACAGTGGAAACTTCACTTTCTACAAAATGCAATAAAAGGCAACAGTGCTATGTTTAGCATGTTAGAAGTGGCTTCAATGTTATAAGTTGGACTGGGCTCAACCCTTTCTTTATATTGTGCTTGTTTATTTCTTTAGCTTTTTTTTAATGTGTCTGTCTGGGTGATGATTGCTGGATAATTGGGTTTGTAGATGATAAATTGCAAAACATTGTTTTAGTAATATCCTTTGTACTTTTTTGGAACCTGGTCTAAAACCTCAGTAAAAAAACAAAAAAAAAAAAAAATCCCTCAAGTATTTTTAGTGAGAAATCATCTGTAATTGTACCTGCAGTTCACCTTAAGGATTCCTACATATTTTTAAAAAGTATTCAGTCTTTCCTGATTGATTAAGCATGGACAAAATAGGGCTAAATTTGGAAACTATTCGAAATTTCTGGACATGCATTCCAAAAACAACATTTTCAAATAAGCCATTTATTGTTTTATTTTGAAATTTTGTCTTTCATACTCTGACATTCTGTATTTGAAATGGTTGATTACCAGTCCTATGCCAAACTTGATGGCAAAATGAATAAATAATAGGGATGTATCTAGATAATTTACCTTGGGATGTACCTCGATAATGACCCATAGGTCTAACCATTTTATATAGTCATAAGATGAATGTGTGTAAGGGTCGTCTATATTTAAAAAAGAATTTGGATCTATTTCTAGTAAGCTTTAACCCGCCACAGTCAACTTTAATCATATTAAAAATGATTAACAAACTAAAACATTGTGGCTAGTAAAAATGCTGAGTGACTTGTAATTTTGGAACTAGCCCAGTGGCTGATGATCAAAAAAGCCCTGAATGTCCCTCAGAGATGGTGCAGGGCAGTAGATCTCAAGGACTGAATTTGGACGCTCCTGCTGATGCCGATTATACTAGTCCCCAATTTGTTTTCAGGATATTTGAAGTGTTTAGATTATGATTCTGAGTCTGTTTATTTCTTTCCTCCCTACCAGGATTGCCTAAAGATAAAAACTCAATAAAACCAATCCAAACAACTTAGCTGTGTTTGTAAAGCCTTTCTGGTATCTTCTGAAGTAAAATACATGAGTTTTTCACCAGTTCAGTAAAATACCCTCAAAGGCAGAGCCAAATTAAAATCCTCTGATTTAAAAATAACATTAGAGCTGCAGAAGAATGATGAATTTGTAGAAATGGGCTATCTGTTGTTTAAGCTTAAATGAACAGCGGGAATGCCTCTTTAGAAAAAAAAAATTGTTTGATTATTGAATAATTTCTTGCATGTTTTTTGGTAGCTTCTCTGCCTTCATTTTTATTACACGTGAGTCTGAAAAGGCCTAATTTTAAGCTGTCATGCAGTAAAGTGAGCCGTTATCAGCGTGACCTGGTACCACTTAGATAGGGTACCACTCACTGGAAATAGTTTACAATTTTGAGTTTCCAGCTGACTGGTATCCAGTCAGAGTCAGCCAGCCTTAAAATCTGCTAATTTACATAATCAGACTGTTGTTTTTCCGCGTATGTACACACAACTTATTCTGGTGAAATCTTGCATTAAATAAAAAACAACTTTGTTTTAAGCTTTTCTCACAAATGAATGCCTCTTCTCATTCTTTAATGTGCAATTATCAGTTTAAATGCAGGGTGACCCCATTTGGGTGAACAGGTACTACCTTTCCTAAACTAAAGTGTAAAGAATAAACACGCAGAGTTTATTTACAATAGTTACTTTGGTAAATTTGGGTAAATAAAGTAGGTAAAATATTACTTCTGTTGGACCTTTCAAGATATCCTATGAAGCTGAACAGAGCACACAGGCCTTTAGCAATAGCTGATGCCTTGTTAAACTTATTTATTTATATTTTTTTTATCTGAAACAAGCATTAGGCCTTGATCAGATGGCCTTAGGGACCTGCTAGGGTAGGGGTCTGCAACCTGCAGCACTGGGGCTCTTTGGTCTCTCTACAATGGCTCAAAATGATATAGAGTCAAATAATAGTTTTGGTTAAAGTATATTTATAAATAGCATTTTTGCAAGGTGTAATTTTCGCTACAGCATGACATTAAACAAACAGGAATATGTTTCTAGGTCTTTATTTCTTGCCATTAGCTTGGAAACTATATGTTTATTTTTAAAATAAAATATCATATACAACTAAATCAATGATCAATGTTTACTCTTTATGAAACTCAGGTT